CATGGTTAGCTCATCAAATGTGACATCCCTACTAACAATGATCTTCTTTGATTCAAGACACCAAACACGATATCCTTTCACCCCTGGTGAAATCCCCATGAACAGCGACTTCTTAGCTCTGGGATCCAACTTTGATTCCTTCACATGATAGTAAACAACCGAACCGAATATGTGTAGAGAATCATAATCATTAGCAGGTTTGCCATACCAAACTTCCATGGGTGTTTTATCTCCAATTGCAGCAGATGGTAACCGGTTGATGAGATGACTCGCATACGTCACAGCCTCAGCCCAGAACCGTTTGTCTAATCCAGCATTAGACAACATACACCGAATCTTCTCCAGTAAAGTTCGATTCATGCGTTCTGCCACCCCATTCTGTTGCGGATTATTTCGAACTGTGAAGTGTCTGACAATGCCATCATCTTGACAGATTTTGGCTAGTGGATCACTCATGTACTCTCTTCCATTGTCTGTTCGGAGACGCTTGATCTTCCTCCCAGTCTGGTTTTCCACCATATTTTTCCATTTAAGGAAACAATTCAGCACTTCATCCTTGGTCTTCATCACGTACACCCATACTCTTCTTGAAAAGTCGTCAACAAAAGTGACAAAATACCGACCACCACCTAACGAGGTCTCCCTTGTAGGCCCCCATACGTCAGAATGGATATAATCCAGAATACCTTCGGTGTTGTGGATAGCCGTCCCAAACTTCACTTTTGATTGCTTTCCAAGAACACAATGCTCACAAAAGTCCAACTTGCATAGCCTGGCTCCTTTCAGCACACCTTGTTTGACGAGGTTCTGCAAAGCCTTCTCTCCAGGATGTCCCAGGCGCATGTGCCATAGCCTGGTGACCTCAGAATCCTTATCTTCTCCAGCCGTAACAACAACTGTTCCAATAACCGTACTACCTTTGAAATAGTACAAGTTGTTCTTCCTTACTCCTTTCAGGACCACCAATGCACCAGAAACAACTTTAAGAATTCCATCTCGAATAGTTACAGTATAACCTTTAGATTCCAAGGTTCCCAGTGAGATGAGATTCTTCTTCAAATTTGGTACGTACCGAACCTCCGATAGAATCCTTGTAGTTCCATCATGACACCTCAGTCGGATTGAACCTATCCCGGTTGCTTGTAGAGCGTCATTGTTGCCCATGTAAACAACTCCTCCATCTAGTTCTTCAAAGTTGAAGAACCACTCCTTGTTGAAACACATATGATAGGTGCAACCCGAGTCCATAATCCACTCGTCAGAGTGAGATTTTGACGATGTGCCGATCAATACGAACTCTGATTCGTCATCTTCATGTTTGGCGACAAAAACGTCTGAAGTCGACTTTGAAACGGCCTTCCCATTTTCTTTCTTTTTCAGCTTTGGACAATCCTTTTTCCAGTGCCCAGTTTCATGACAAAAGGCACATTCATCCTTCGCAAGTCTGCCTTTTGAGCGAGATCTACCCTTCTTTTTCTTTCCAGGCTTATGAGTCTGTTCACGACCTCGAGCAGCATAGGCCTCCCCTGCTGAAGTTGAACTGTTTTCCTTCTGATCCTTTTTCCGGATCTCCCGATTGTACAAAGCTGCACATACTTCATCGAAACGGATCTGCTCCTTTCCATGAAGTATCATAGTGATAAGGTTCTCGTATTCTTCGGGTAGAGAGTTCAGGAGGAGCGCAATGCTTGCGTAGTAATCCGTTCGTGTTTAACAAGGGAGCTAAAACTCCCTTATATGAAGGAGACATCTGCAAGCAAACTTTGGAGAGAGTTGGAGAAGCAGTTCCTGACGAAGAGTTGCCAGAACCGGTTGTACTTGAAGAAGAAGTTGTTCCGCCTGCAGTACCAATCGGGCACTACGATGTACAACCACATATCGGAGTTCAACAAGCTGGTGACGGAGTTGGAAAACCTTGATGAAATGCCATCATCTCGCCTTGCCACAAGCTGAAATTATTGGTCCCGTTGAACTTCTCCACCTCGATCTTCGCATTCGTCACCACCGTCCTTCCCGATGACGCCGAGGATCGGACGGTCGACGACGATGATGAGCCAACTGGTGGAATTGCAACTACCGCCGGTGTTTCGGTGGTCTCCTGGGCCATAACTCCAAATCACAATTTTTTTTTTATTTTTCAAATCGACCCGTGCCTTGGTAAAAGGTACCGCGGCTCTGATACCAATTGTTGTGCGGAAGCGTACCGGGTCTCAAATGTGAGACGATGGAATCGAACGAGAGAAAGTAAAAGACACCTGGATTTAACGTGGTTCGGCAGAATGCCTACGTCCACGGCGAGGAAGAACACAAACTCCACTATATCGGTGAACAAATGTGGAATACAACACACACTCAACCTCACTTCCCAATTTTCTAAGAACACCCTTTCTCTCGTAACACTCAGAAGAAGAAAATATTCAAACCGTATCCAAGAACCTCACCGAAAAAAATTTCTTGGATACTAAGAAAGAAAACCCAAAACCCTCGAAAAGACCCAAATATTGGGTTTCTTGCTGAAGAAGAAAACTTCTTCTTCCACACTCCTTCTTCTCTTCTGAATGTTTTTGTTAGTGATTTGTGATACTTGAGAACATAACTTGCATGGCTATTTATAGGAGAAGTCACAGACGGATTTGTGGCGGAAGACAAAAGCCACCAAACCATTCACGTTGAATGGTGTTTGATTTTTTCAAATAAAAAATCAACCAATTGCCTTTGTCTGCCATCATCACCAATTTCCTTTGTTTGCCACCAACACCATAATTGAAGCCACCATTCACATAATCTTAAACAATGTCGGGAGAATGCAGGTTTTTAGATGACTAATGGGTTTTGATTTGGTTTTGGTTTGTTCGGATGCAGATAAACAATGTTGGAACTAACATAGTGAAACCGACCGTAGAGTATACAGCAGAAGATTTCTCGTTTCTGATGGCTACGAACTTCGAGTCAGCTTACAATCTCTGCCAGATGGCGCATCCTCTCCTGAAGGCTTCGGGATATGGTAGCATCGTCTTTATGTCCTCTGCTGCCGGGATCCAATCATCTAACGTCGGATCCATCTATAGTGCGACAAAAGGTACATACGTACATAAACCCGGAAAACAGAAAACAAAAAACACGACATCGATTTCGTGATTCATGTAATGTGAATGCATCAGGAGCTCTGAATCAGCTGGCGAGAAACTTGGCTTGCGAGTGGGCGTGCGACAGCATAAGGGCTAACGCTGTTGCGCCTAACGCCATCACAACTCCTCTTGCGCAACACGTAATCTAAGCGTTTCCCATTGTGCAAATTAACCCATGATTAGGATGCTGTTATCTTCTCCGAAATCTTGTTTATGCAAGCTTTTTTTTTTTCAGCTTTTGGAAGACAAGAATTTCATGGAGGCCTTGAAGTCGAGAACACCGCTCGGCCGTGCTGGAAAGCCAGAAGAGGTCGCGGCACTGGTGACGTTTCTGTGTCTTCCTGCGGCTTCTTACATAACCGGTCAGACTATTTGCATCGACGGAGGTCTCACCGTCAATGGCTTCTCCTATCAGCCCCAGGCTTGAATCCGACCGAAAATCTTTCGACAACATATAAAATTCCGAGCTCTACTATAGAATGATCTTGTAAGAGTTTGGAACATTATTAAATAAAGATCCGTAATGTTCATGTTTCCTTGTATCAGCCACAGGCTTGAAAACTATGTACGATGTCTTAACAATTTATCCTCGTTCTTGAACGGTCAGCGTTTTGTTCATTCAGTATTTATTTGAAAATTTGAACGTGGAGTCGCTCGATGTAGTTCACATCTTAATCTTCAGACCAAACAGAGGGCAATACATGCATCATTACTTAAAATTAATGGCTTAATTAAGACCAATGGCAAGGGTATGTTCCGTGACAGGAACTGTCAGGCCGGCCGGCTTAGTCCGGTTAAGGGTCGGTTAAAGAGCTCAGAATTGATTTTGATTATGGTATGGGATGGTTTTCTCGGTTTATAGTTTCCGATTTAGTGATTTTATTTTTGAATTTAAACTTCCCGCGTGTTTTTCATTTGTGCATATAAACATCTTTTCTTATTTGAACGAAGATAAAGAGAAATTTTGCTCCAAAGCTTCCTATTCCTTTTCTTCTCTGCAATCCGGGCTTCCCAGATTTGTTAGAAACACGGGTGTTTCGTTTTTTTGCTCGAATTTCACACAAGAATTCCAACATCGCGCTTCAACGGCCGAACCAGACAAGAGATGGAGGGTCCCAGGATTTATCTCCATCATCTCGATCCCTTTGTTTGCTTTTTGTTATCGTTCAGCTTGTAGATCTCTGTGAGAATATGAACAGAGGATGATAAATAGAGGATCTGAATCAATGGCCTCGTTTTCTGGTTTGGGAATGTTCTTGAATCTTTCAGGTATGGTACAATGGGGGGGACATCACGTCTTGGTAGATTTACAGATCCATGTCGTTTTCTCCGCAAATGATTTCTGCTGAAAACAATTATAAGCCATCTCCATCATTGCATTACTCTCCCGCTGTCGTCCTTTTCCCTGGCATTTACTCTTTCACTATTACTCTCATGTCCCAAAAAAGACATTTACGCATAATTCCGAAACAGCTTCTGGAAGAGGATGTGCATTCTTTCTGGAGTAGGGGCCAATTCTTTGATGTTCTTTTCTTTTTATGGTTTCTAAAACGTGATGTTCATTTGTTTTCCCTTGCTTCATGTCTTTATAATGCAATTCATTTCGTTGTGTCTTGAATCTGTGTTTTCCCGGAGTCATTTTCTGGCTAAAGTTTCTGGGAAGGAATGGAAAACCGGTGGACGCTGAGAGGCATGACGGCTCTTGTAACTGGTGGAGCCAGAGGGTTGGGGTTCGTCTTCTTCCTTTTGTATTCGCTTATCGCCCATTTCTACTGCCTTTAGATACAAGTCTTGAACATTTAAGTTGCATATGTACCTGAATATGTTTTCCTTGTAATTCCATGAGTTCCAATATCAGACAACGTAAATCAACTATTCCTGTTTGGTACAAGTGCTATGTATGTGGTATTGATGTATGTTTGGTTTGGGTTCCCATCATTTGAAAATTTTGCTTTCTTCGTTCTGTCTTCCTCACATAAATGAGATGTACGGTTTGTTGATTATGCAACCAAAAGCATCTTAGATTTGTAGATTTGGATACTGATTCTGATTCTAGTTTTACTTCAGATCCTGATTCTGCAAAGATTTATATGTATTTTTGAATCTTTAGGCATGCCATGGTTGAGGAACTAGCTGGCTTTGGAGCAATAGTTTATACGTGTGACATATCTGAGTCTCACCTTAACCAAAACTTACGCGAATGGAAAGAGAAGGGCCTTCGAGTCTATGGTTCAGTCTGTGATGTATCTTCCCGTTCCGAGAGAGGGAAACTGATGGAGATCGTCTCCTCTCTGTTTGGTGGCAAACTCAACATTCTTGTAAGCAATGCCTTATACAAACTTTCCCCACATAATATATATCGATTTCTGCATTATCAATGTAAACAAAATATAACATGCCGTCCCGTGTTTGATATAGATAAACAACGTGGGCGTATGTGTGTCAAAGCCGACTACAGAATATACAGCACAAGATTTCTCGTTTCTCATAGCCACAAATTTCGAGTCTGCTTACCATCTCTGTGATAGGCCTCTAGGACTATATGTGAAGAAGACCAAGAAGAGGAAGAAGGCTGAAGAAGGAGGAGCACCTCGGGGAGCTTCGATGGACTCTAATGCAGCAGATAAAAAGGAACAAGGAGCAGGAAAGGGGGAGAAGCAGAGGATCATAACTGACACAGAAGAATGGGAGAGGAGGAATGCGTTATGGAGGTTCACGTACGTATTGTGGGTTTGTTGCATGTGCCACATCAGCACTCTGTTGCTGAGTATGTCTATAAATAATGTTGTCCTTTGTTTTGGGTGGGTATCTGAAATCTTAAGAATATTGTGGTGTGGGAGGTTAATAGAGAGTGGTGTTCCTCTCTAAACCTTGGTGGGGAATGGAGGGTGGTGTTCCTCTCTAAACCCTGATATCGTTTCCTTTCCTTGGGTATTTCTTAATATAATCGGTATTTCTATTACAAGGTTCTATCACTCTGCCAGCTCGCTCATCCTCTGCTGAAGGCTTCAGGATCTGGAAGCATAGTGTTCAATTCCTCCATTGGTGGAGTTGTATCATGTGTCCTTGGATCCATCTATGGTGCAACAAAAGGTAAGCATTTGAAGTTAACTTTCTCTTTTATTATGCTCTTTGTCGGGAAACTTCTCTGTTTTCAAACATGAAAACAGAATTAATATGGCCAAATCAAGATACCCATACCCATATGACAATTCTGCATGGATGCATGCAGGAGCTATGAACCAGTTAGCGAGAAACCTGGCGTGTGAGTGGGCAAGCGACAACATAAGGGCAAACTCGGTAGCTCCTGGTGTCATTCCTACTCCCATGGCTGAAACTGTAAAACTAAAAACCTTCCATGCATTGTACAAATCTATCCTATGATCATCCTCTAAATCTCTTTCTACGTGTCTTTTCTTTCAGCATATGCGTGACTACGAGTTCACAAAGACAGTACTCTCAAGAATTCCGATGGAACGATTGGGAGAGACAAAGGAGGTTTCGTCGTTTGTGGCGTTTTTGTGTATGCCTGCGGCTTCATACATAACAGGTCAGACCATTGTCGTCGACGGAGGTCTCACCATCAACGCCTTCTCCTACCAACCCAACTCACAATCGGAGTAAACTCTACCAAAGATCCTAATGAACCCGACATGTATAAGTATAGGTGAATCTTAGTTCGCCGATAATAAAATCAGGAAGACTTCGTATGATCTCCAAGTTTGTTTAGATCTGTTTATGCTGAGAGGCTTTATTGCACAAAATGTCATTCCGCGTATAACTTTGCAGAACCCTGTCTCTGTGTGCATGTAATAAAATTCTGTTTTCACGTATTGTGGATGAATATAACCTCACAGAGGAACATAAACTGATATAATACTAACTTTATAATTGTTGAGAAGCATAATGTAAATCACAGTGTCTACATTAGATACACTTGGGGCTGTTTGTGTTGTGTGTTGCCTATTTCCCCAAATATATAAAAAAAAATGTAAGCACTCAATTTCTAAGAAAATGATCAGAATTTTACGCAGCAATCAATAGATTGTTTAAAAAAAACTAAAGAAATAGAAAGAAAAGAAAAATGGAACCAGTGATAGCTCCATTCTCATCACAATTCGCTCTGATAAGAATTCCAGTAGGCATCATCTTCATCGTCTCCGCCATCCGATCTCACATCCTCCGCAGTTCCTCCACCGTCCGATTGGTTGCCTTCAGCTGCATCACCATCTCTCTCCGACGGCTCCGATTTCATCGGCTCATCCTACAAGCACAAATGTAGATTCATCACTTACACGTATACATATGCATATATAAACGCATCCCTTTCAACTTTGCCAAAACGGTGTTAAACCGGAGTTGTTTTTGCCCAAATGAACCAAAAAGTGTATGCAGCAGTAGAAATGTGGTTCACAACGTTTTTTTAGCAAAGCCGAATAAGTGGGCAAAGTACAAAATTTAAGGGTAGTTTACGATGGAGCACAAGAAGGGATAATAGCAACAACATACGTTGTTGGGAACATCAGTTGTCTCTGCCTCAATGTTTGGTGAGTCATCATCTGCTGAGGCTTCATCTTTTTCGTTGGCGGCTTTAGCAGCCGCTTCTTGAAGCTTCTTCATCACACTCTGGTAATGATAGTGATCTGCACAGAAGAAAGAAGACAAGCTTCTGAACACAAGCATGCTTTTTCGCATCATATCAGATAGAACTTTATATTTGGTCATATTTCCTTCGCTTGAACACTTTCTACATTTGCCCCGAATCCGAAGATGGGTTTAAAAATTCGATTTGGCAAATAGTAAATCTGAATTTTAGAAGATTTGTATACACAAAAGTATATAGCTTACTAGTCTTTCAGAACACTCATTTAGCATCATTCAAACGTCCGTAAGATGGGACAAAACACTCAAGGAAGCATATTACTCAAAGCATACCTTATTCCTTGTAAGGAAAAGGAACGTAAAGGGGAGAGGATCTCACTTTTTACACGAGTAGCAAGAGCATTGTTAAGTTTCATTGGATGCCGACGTTCTTCCGACTTGTATTTTAGCTTCATCTGTTCACGTGTCCTATCGGGAAATAGTTGCTGTATCATTGAGAGATCACTCCCAAACTCACGAATACCCTACAACCAAAAGGGTCAGAAGGAAATACAGCAATTAGAGATTTTTGTAATCCTTGGAACTACAACGAACTGGGCAAAACCTCCAATAAAAGTCATCACAAGATAGATTCGACTCTCGTGATTTGTTGAACAAAACCGTATCTTCACCTCATGATTGAGATAAGGAAGAATCAAAGCATGAGAATATCCATTACCTCATAAAATCGCTCTGTATCTAGCTTTGACCATCGTGCTCTAGCTTGCCTTTGCACGTACGTGTGGTAGTTTAGCAGAGGCTCGAAATCATCAGATGCTTTCCTAATAGTATAAGAAACACTTCATCAGACAGAGATCTAAGTCGAGCTGTTCATGATTAAAATGGATTCACAGGTTATTCAAATCATTTGGGTGACAGACGTGGACATGGACTATTTTTTAGAAGGTCAATTCATGGACTCAAATGTAGTGCATTTAAAAGAAATATGAGCTAAAATTTGTATTAGTTAATAATCAGATAACACAAGACGACTAAAGAGAATGAAATGTTTGAAGAGAATTCTCTCAGCTATCTTGCTTAAAACCCATTTTGTACTAGCACAATGGCTTTACTAAAAAAAATTGAATGCGGCTTATCAACGATAAAAGCTCTTATCAAACACAAATGGACAGGGGAAATAAACTAAATCAAGATTAGTATCACAACCTCTGCTCGGCGATGAAAAACCATGAACATATGCACTACATCAGTAGCAACTAAGAACTCCCGGTACATGACAAGTTTACAAGGAGAAATTCTATGAAAAAAATAAACACAATACCTTTCTTGGTTCTGAGTCGATCCTGCTTCTTTTGCTTCCTTTTTCTGGATATACACAACAAATTCCCATCATTCAGAATGAATAACCCAAGCTTACACACACCAAGTGCATGTCTAAACATATGCGCTCACACTTAAACACAAGTATTGTGAAATCTGTTTCATGTAGAGCTCAGATAAAACTAAAATTTGATTTCTTTCCAAAACTATGATTGTTTTTGTAGTATGAATTTTTCAAGTCTAGCCATAAAATGTGCAAAACGGATCAAAGTGTAGTAAGTAAATGTCATCTTTGCTGCCTACATAATTTGCGTACTTGTTGCAGTGACTAATAATAGCACAACAAGTGTACAATAGATAATTGTATGCCATACAATGTGAAAATTAGCAGATAAGACACAGGGGTATGCAGATGATATAAGAGAACCATTTACCTCCAACCATTCCTTATAATCAACAAGCTGGAGCATCTCCCTAATCGGCAAAAAGGGGATATCTTCATCCGGGGTTTCAAGCAACTCCTTCGACACTATTACAATAAGAAATATATAATGTTAAACCAAAATACAGAAAGAGTCAAGGGCGTCATAATATTTCAGAAAGAAGTTACAGTTACATGCTCTTCTTCGCTGACGACGAGTTGAATGTTTGAACTTCTTCGGTGGTTTTTCACCAGATTGATCAGGTGCTTCATTTCCATTTTGGCCCTTTTGAGTAGGCTTTTTTTCCGCAAATGCATCTCTCTTTGACTTCCCCATATCTCTAGCTCTCTCGGATTGTCCTTCTGCCATATGTTCCCAACAGTTGTCTTCTTCTGTGGGTGTACTGTTCCCCTGGCATTCAAAATGCTCTTCATGTTCCCATCCACCAGAAGGGATTTCTTTCTCCGTCTTAGAAGTCTGAGAAAAGTTACAAGAAAAATTGAGCTCCAAGCATTATCCTATGTGAATTTTGGCTTCACAAGACAATGAGCTAAAACAACCAAATTTGCCCAGAAATCTTACAGGTTCCCCAGCCATTTCAGGAATATCAACTTCTTGAAAATCTCCATAAAAGTTATTTTGCGCATTAGTAGTTTCATTTCTCAGGTCCCCATTCACCAGAAACTCAGATGTGCTAGCGCCCATAGACACATAATCTATGTCATCAGCAGCGTAAACAGACTTAGGTGTCTCATTGACATCTTGACTCTGGTTCCTAGTTTGTACATCATCTTGAAATTTTGGCTTTGGTTGGAACTTTCCAGAATGCTGCCCTATGAAAATGATACAGAAGTCTCCTTAATTTAAAAACGAACAAATATACATCGTGGGGAATCACCGATAGTAGTTCTACCCTTCTCATACTTACCATAGGTAGTGGTGCCCTTCTCTATAATATCTAAAGTTTCCATGTCCAAACAATATTCTTCTTCCTGAAATGACCCGAGGTTAGTGAAAAATCTATTTAAACGTTATAGTAAAAAAGACTCGACAAGTTCTGCACTTTGAGAACATATTTCATACCTCTGTTTGTGTCCCTCCATTTTGAGCATGAATACCTCCATCAATTTCTGGAGCTATAAAATCCGTGAACATTACTGAATCCTGTGTCCCAGGATAACCAGGAAAGACAGGTATGTCTATGTTATCATCCATTCTTTTCTCCGAATCCACATTTGTCCAAGGATGAAGAGCTGCTGCTTCCATAGATGAATGAATGCCCCCTGAGAAAACGTCTGCGTTCTGAAAATAACTTAAATTATGAAAATACTGTGAGACATAGAAAGAGACAATGCATTAAGAGCAAGGCAGAAGGATGTCTCTTTACCTCTTCCAAGATTGTCCCATCAGTAAATTGGTTTATGGTGCCACTATCAGGTACAACAGTCTCAGAAGGCAAAGTATCTGCAGAGTAAAATTTCACATGCTTAATCATTTTATAACGTCGAACAATTACAGCCTAATCAAGATAACTATTTAATTCGATGAAACGAACTGCTTAGGTTTGCTGATTTAGTGCGCGCAACCTCCCCCTTTAGACCGTCCGGATCTTCCCCTCCACAAGATAAATCTTGCATTGGAGGTGTTTCTTCGTTACCATTGGGAAGCTCAGCAGCAGCGGAAACAGAGGCTAGCTTCTTCGGACGAGGTTTAGCCTTCGGTTTAAACTTTCCACCAGCCCGGGCTGCAACAGTTTGGTGCAAATATAACATACGTGTCTTAAACCATAGAATCAAATCCAAACCAGACAAGGCTTTTCAGGAAATAAGCCTACCACCAGCTGCAGCAGGCTCCAAGAATATGTCATCTAGATCCATGAACTTTGTTCTTTTAGAAGATGTCTCTTTATGCCTGCATTTATCATGATTCGGTTAATGCCAAGTTTGTTAAAATCCCATTCACAATCTCAGCACGAGGCCAAACCCTAACATTTTAACTGCAGCTATAAGGCACATTCTCAAAGAGCAAATCACGGCAATCTTACACTAGTCCTGATTTATCATCTTCCACGAGCAGATTCAAGCACCCTCGCAACGAGAATCAACAAAGTTTAGTTCCATAGAACTCAAAAAAATAACAGTCACACAACTCATTCGGATTATTGAGTTCTGTTCAAGCTTGCATCATGGAAGCACACGCAACTATTCGCCCCACTGATACATCAAAACTCTCAATGATATGCATAGGTTCCAACACTGTTTCAAATTCAACACACCATGAATCTCCACATGAAAAAAGGGAAATTGCCATACCTGATGATACAACGTACTCCGGCGGAGTTTACCCAAAAAAAAAAACGTACTCCGTCGGAAACCGGGGTTTCAGATTGGAACAGGCTGCAGACGAATCAAGAAAAATAGGAAAATTGAAAACCTCGAAACCCTAAGTTCGTGTCGGTCTAACGGCAAAGCTATGCGAATCAAAATCTAAAAACCCATCTAGATTCGAGATCGCGGGTTCGATTCATCTATTAAATAATTTTTCTTTTTATTTATCCAATAAAATATCTTGCAATTGGAGAACCCAGAAACCGGAGAAAATAAAAAAGAGGAGCGATCAATTTCAAATTGATGCTTCGTCCTCCATTCATCTAAACAGTGTCGTGGAGTAATTCGCATCAGATAATCAAACAATCAGAGCAACAGGAACAATGCATTGGCGAATCAAAACAAAAAAAAACCTAGAATCCCAAAAAATTACTTGCGGATCCGACATTGATCCTAGATTCCAAGATCAGAGCAGTTATAACTCAGAAGGAAACGAAGCCGCTCGAAATACTGGAAACCAAAATCCTAATTCTGAAACCAAATCGCAGGCCTTAAACGTACCTGAGATTGCGAGACGGTTTCGGAGAGGACACAGCGAATCGAAGGAGAGACGACGCGATCGCCAAAAGGGCGGTGGAGACTCGAGACGGCAGAGTGAAGAGAACATATAAGCTAAAAACTTGTATATCATAAAAACATTGAGAAGAGAATAAAAGGAAACCATACATGCATACATACACACACACACATACATACATACATACATACATACATACATACATACATACATACATACATACATACATACATACATACATACATACATACATACATACATACATACATACATACATACATACATACACATACACACACACACATACATACATACATACATACATACATACATACATACATACATACATACATACATACATACATACATACATATCATGTTGCATGTTTTTTTTTTTTGTTAAAATCATGTTGCATGTTTGTATACTAATACAACTTGAAACTGTCTTAAGTCATAACATATATACATGCAAATATATATTTTATACGCATATATATGCAATCTTTTTTTTTTCTTTTACCAAATAGAAAAACGTCTTTATAAAGGAAGTCACTGGGTTATTTTGTAAATTCATCTTAATTTTTCTTTTAAACTTTTCTATTCATTTTTTATGTTTTCACATATTCACTTTTTTGTTATAAAATAAATTTTTTTAATTCGCCCTTTTTTTTAATTTTTTTAGTAATATTAAAAAATTGTGGATGTTTTTTTACATCATTTTTTATCATAAAATGCAGAAGATAAAATATTGTATTTAAATTAAAATATCATTGCTCTGCCTCGGCTTTTTTAAGAAAAACAACAGTAAGCCTTTCAAAATCTTATTTTCGATGTTTAAATACATTGTTCTTTTCAAGAATAATACAACACCTTCGAAGTAACAAAAAATCCAAATCTTTATTATATATATATATTATCAAATTTGGAAATCTACAATCGTAATGGATATATATTTATCGTACTACGGCATTATTACACCGTATATATTTGGATATATATATCTAGAAGGCTAATTCTAGAATGTGAATTATTAAGTCGTTGTGAGAAACTGGATAGCCCTCTTTATCACCACTCACTCATTCTCAGCATTCCTTTTTTGACCTTTACTCTGTCTACCATTTTTTTTTTTTTTTTTGTTCTGGAAAGTCGTTGATCTTCACAGAGCGATTTTTTCACGAGTAGGGGCCAAGCTCTGTTATATGGGGTTTGTATCTTGCGGCTATTTAAACGCGGTATTCGTATAACTTCATCTGTGTCTAATTGAACGCCTCTTCGGTTTTTTAGATATCATATTTGGACAAACGGAGATGGATAGTAGATGGAGTCTTCGAGGAATGACCGCTCTTGTGACCGGTGGAGCCGGAGGGATCGGGTCTGTCCTCTTCTTTAATTTCCGTTTAACCCATTGCCCATAGCCATGTTTCTAGTTTTTAACATGATGTCCGAATACTCAGACATGCGATAGTGGAGGAACTAGCCGGATTCGGGGCAAGAATCCACATATGCGACAAGTCTGAGGTTCATCTCAACCAAAGTTTAAGCGAATGGAAAGAGAAAGGCTTTCAAGTCAGTGGCTCAGTCTGTGATGTTATCTCTTGCCCGCAGAGAGTGAAACTCTTGAAGACAGTCTCCTCTCTCTTTGATGGCAAACTCAACATTCTCGTACGCTAAAAATCTTCTTAAGCTTTGTACTGAATTTCAACCATATACAGATTCTTGACTTTTGGCCAACATTTTTGCATGCGTTCCTTTCCTTGAAAAAGATAAACAACGTCGGAACTTGCGTGATGAAGCCAACCCTAGATTTCACGACCGAAGATTACTCGTTACAAATGGCTACAAACTTCGAGTCAGCTTTCCATATCTCCCAGCTCGCCCATCCTCTCTTGAAGGCCTCTGGATCTGGAAGCATCGTTTTCATATCCTCCGTCGCCTCAGTTGTATCAATTTCCGTGAGCTCCATCTATTCTGCAACAAAAGGTATATGTAGTGGCTTCACTCGGAAACAAATTAAACGTAGCTTCTATTGTCAATAGAAGCATCCAAATTCTATAAATCTTCTTTATTAAACACACGTATGAAATGTATATGTATATATATGCAGGAGCTCTGAACCAGTTGGCAAGAAACCTGGCGTGCGAGTGGGCGAGCGACAGCATAAGGGCTAACGCCGTTGCTCCTAATATTGTCTTAACTCATCTAGCACAAAGCGTAATATAAGCATTTCCATTTCGAAAAACTATTAACTAACATATAATTAAGGAGTTATTATTCCTACGTTTTTATTTTCTTCTAAATCTTGTTTATATGTGTTTCAGGTTATCAAGGAAGATAGTTTTGTGGAGAATTTGAAGTCGAGAACCCCACTCGGTCGTGTTGGAGAGGCAAAGGAGGTCGCGGCACTGGTGACATTTCTATGTCTTCCGGCAGCTTCTTACGTAACTGGCCAGACCATCTGCGTAGACGGAGGTCTCACTGTCAATGGCTTCTCCTATCAGCCTCAAACTTGAATCCAACATCAACTCTTGCAAAATATGTAGAACCTACGGTTCTAAATACCAAATAATCATGCAAGAGTTTCGAATATTATGCACCATATTTGAATTGGTGTACGATCATATAATGTCTTTAAGGATATGTCGTATTTTCTATACAAAAGACAAGCATGTATTTCGTTTCCAATATTAATATATTTATCATATATATATATTATATTTGGTTTTATCATTTATATCCGAGGCTAAAGCTTGAATCCAACATAAACTTTCCAAAATGCATAAAAATTACGCTTCCAAGTTTCTGATACTTAATAAACAAGCAAGAGTTTCAAGTACTATATACGTGATATAATTGGACCGGTTTATGATCATATGATGTCTTATCGATTCGTGAGAAATATGGATTTCATTTCCAATACTCTTAATTTCGTATATTTATCATATATTCAAACAAATATTTGGTTTTCACTTATTCACTTTTTTGTTATTAAATATTTTTTTTATTTACCTTTTTTTTTATCATTTTAGTAATATTAAAAAATTGCGGATGTGCTATTATATCATTTTTTATAATAAATGCAGGATATAAACAGATTTCGATGAAATGTTTTTTTTTTTAATATCATTGCTCTGGCTTGGTTTTTTTTTAAGAAAAACAACAGCAAGTCTTTTAAAATCTTATTTCCTGTGTTTAAACACATTGTTCTTTTCAAAAATAATACAAATAACATCTTCAAAGTAACAAAAAATCCAAATATTTATTAATTATATATAATCAGATTTGGATTTCTGTGTATATTTGGATGCTAATTCTAGAATGTTAATTAAGTCGACCGGGGTTCCTCTTTATCAAAACGTGTATATTTGGATATATATATATATATATATAATGCTAATTCTAGAATGCTAATTAAGTCGTTGTAATTAAATGGTTTTGTTGTATCAAGAAACTGGAGAGCCCTCTTTATCACTGCAATAAATTCATCTGGCGTTCCTTTTTTGACCTTTAGTGTCCTCCATTTTATTTTTGTTCTGGAAAATTTTTCACGAGTAGGGCAAGCCCTGTTATATGTCTTGCGGCTATTTAAACGCCGTACTCGTACAAATTCATCTGTGTCTAGTTGAACGCCTCTTCGGTTTTTGCGATATCATATCTGAACAAACGGAGATGGATAGTAGATGGAGTCTTCGAGGAATGACTGCTCTTGTGACCGGCGGAGGTCGAGGGATCGGGTCTGTCTTCTTCTTTAATTTCGTTTTAACCCATAGCCATGCTTCTAGTTTTTAACACGTTGTCCGAATATTCAGGCATGCGATAGTGGAGGAACTAGCCGGATTCGGGGCAAGGATCCACATATGCGACAAGTCCGAGGTTCATCTCAACCAAAGTTTACGCGAATGGAAAGAGAAAGGCTTTAATGTCAGTGGTTCAGTCTGTGACGTATCCTGTCGGCTACAGAGAGTGGAACTCATGCAAACAGTCTCCTCTCTCTTTGATGACAAACTCAACATTCTCGTAAGCTAAATCTCTTCTTAAGCTTTGTACCGTAATCACTACCGTGTACAGATTCTTGACTGTTGGCCAACATTTTTGCACGCGTTCCTTTCCCTGGAAAAGATAAACAATGCCGGAACAGGTGCGGTGAAGCCAACCGTAGAATACACGGCCGAAGATTTCTCGTTTCAGATGGCGACAAACTTCGAGTCGGCTTTCCATCTCTCCCAGCTAGCTCATCCTCTCTTGAAAGCCTCTGGATCTGGAAGCATCGTTTTCATATCCTCAATTACCGGAGTTGTATCAATTCCCGTAGGCTCCATCTATTCCGCAACAAAAGGTATATACATGTAAAACGTAGATTTTGTCGTCGATAGAAACGTCCAGATTATATAAATCTTCACTCCTCTAGTATTACACATGTATGAAATGTATATGTATATATATGCAGGAGCTTTGAACCAGTTGGCAAGAAACTTGGCGTGCGAGTGGGCGAGCGACAGTATAAGGGCTAACGCTGTTGCTCCTAATATTGTCTTAACTCCTCTAGTACAAAGTGTATGTAATCTAAGCATTTCCATTTCGAAAAACTATTAACATATAACTAAGAAGCTATTATTCCTACCCTCTTTTGTCCCCTTTTAAATCATATTTATATGTGTGTTAAATTTCAGGTTCTGAACGAGAATATCGTGGAGAAGTTGGAGTCGAGAACTCCGCTCGGCCGTGCTGGAGAGCCAAAGGAGATCGCGGCATTGGTGACGTTTCTGTGTCTTCCGGCAGCTTCTTACATAACCGGTCAGACCATTTGCGTGGACGGAGGTTTCACCGTCAATGGCTTCTCTTACCAGCCTCAGACTTAAAATCCCTCGGAAACTCTTACGAACTATGTATAACTTACGGTTCTAAGTACTCAATAATCAATCGTGTGATGCCTTAACGATATGTCGTATTTTCTATACAAAAGGCGAGTGTGTATTTTGTTTCCAATATTAATATATTTATTATATGTAAACAAATGATTGGTTTTATTATTTATATCTGAGCATAAGGCTTGAGTCCAACATAAAATTTCCAAAATGCGTCAAACTTAAGTTTCTAATACTTAAATAAGCAAGCAAGAGTTTCAAACATTATATATACATGATAACTGAACCGGTTTATGATCATATGATGGTGTAATTATATGAACATGCGAACATATAGAGCGCACATTTCGTACAAGAGCAATTGAAACATGGATTCTCAAACCTGTTTCACGTGAAAACTCATAAGAATGTGGCTGGTCTCTTGTCCAAACCATCAATTATGGGTCGTTATACCCAAATTAAAATATATCATTTATATATATCTTATCTTCAGGAAATATTAGTTGACACAGTTACATATTTATTGTACCATGACATCATAAACGTGTGTGTATATATATATTAGATGCTAACTTCTAGAATGCTGGGATGTTTGTTGGTTCATGGCATGTGCTTGTTAATGTGGGTTTTCATCTAGAGACCGGTTAGCCCTCTTTCCATTATAATCACTTTTGATAGCATTATTTCTTTGCCCTAATTAATTGCCCTCTCTTTATTATTTTGTTGTCTTGGGAGAACCGTTGATCACGAGTGAGTTTTTCAAGAGTAGGGGCCAAACTTTACCATGCACGTTGTCTCTCTTACATCTATTTACAATCGTCGTTTCTTCGTTTTTTTTCCATGTCTCTCTCAAGTGACTAAACAAAGATGGATGCAAGGTGGAGCCTTCGAGGAATGACTGCTCTCGTGACCGGTGGAGCTGGTGGGATCGGGTCTGTCTTCTTCTTTAATTTGCGTTTTAACCCATTGCCATGCTTCTAGTTTTAACGATGAGTGAATATTCAGGCATGCAATAGTGGATGAACTAGCTAGCTGGATTTGGGGCAAGAATCCACACATGCGACAAGTCCGAAGTTCATCTCAACCAAAGCTTACGTGAATGGAAAGAGAAGGGCTTTCAAGTCAGTGGCTCAGTCTGTGACGTGATCTCTTGTCCGCAGAGAGAGAAACTCATGCAGACAGTCTCCTCTCTGTTTGATGGCAAACTCAACATTCTCGTAAGCAAAATCCTCTTAAGCTTTGTATTGATTACCCATATACATATTCTTGACTCTAATTGGCCAACGTTGTGGCATACATTCCTTTTCTCGAAAAAGATAAACAACGTCGGAACGATCGTGGTGAAGCCAACCCTAGATTTCACAGCCGAAGATTACTCGTTACAGATGGCTACAAACTTCGAGTCTGCTTTCCATCTCTCCCAGCTCGCTCATCCTCTCTTGAAGGCCTCTGGATCCGGAAGCATCGTTTTCATATCCTCCATTTCCGGAGTTGTATCAATTTCCGAAAGCTCCATCTATTCAGCAACAAAAGGCATGCAATGGGAAACAAATCGTATATTTTGTCATTGATAGAAGCGTCGTAATTTTAGGATATTCTCTACTAAACACACATATGAAACGTATATGTATATATGCAGGAGCTATGAACCAGCTAGCAAGAAACCTTGCATGCGAGTGGGCGAGCGACAGTATAAGGGCCAACGTTGTTGCTCCTAATCTTGTCTTAACTCCTCTAGCACAATCCGTAATCTAAGCATTTCCATTCCAAAAACTATTCAACATATAATTAAGAAGTTTTATTACTACATTTTTACTTTCTTCTAAAGCTTGTTAATTTATATGTGTTCCAGGTTATCAAAGAAGAGAATTTCGTAAAGAGTTTGAAGTCGAGAACCCCACTCGGACGTGTTGGGGAGGCAAAGGAGATCGCGGCACTGGTGACATTTCTGTGTCTTCCGGCAGCTTCTTACGTAACTGGCCAGACCATTTGCGTGGATGGAGGTCTCACTGTCAATGGCTTCTCCTATCAACCTCAAACTTGAATCCACATAAACTCTTGCAAAATATATACTTGCGGTTCTAAATACTAAATATCATGCAAGAGTTTTTATAACTGGTGTACGATTATGTGGCATCTTAAGGATATGTCGTATTTTCTATACAAAAGACAAGCGTGTATTTCGTTTCCAATATTAATATATTTATCATATACAAACATATATTTGGTTTTATTATCAATATTAGAGTCTAGAGGCTAGAATCCAACATAATAAACGAGCAAGAGTTTCAAATATTATATATACATGATAACTAAACCGATTTATGATCATATATATAAGGGTGTCAATAGAACCCGAAGCTCGAAGTCCGGTCCGAAACCCGCCCAAAAAATTAAAGATTTGGATCTAATAATATAGGTCCGATAAATAAATGGGTGAGTTGGCTCGATCCGAAAAAAATTTAGGTCCGAATCGAGTCCGACCCAAAATCCGCCGACCCGCCCATTTAGTCCGAAAAATATTATATTATTAGATTTCTACTTTCACTCGAGATCTAATTAATGCCACATAATATTAAATTGTTAAATTATTATTATTATTATTATTATTTTACATTAATATTTATTTTTTATTAAATAGAAAAAACTCAAAACCCGGGCCGAACCCATCCGAAAGCCCTATAGGGCCGGGGTCCGGGCCACCAATCATAGGCCCGAAAAATAAATGGGCGGACCGACCCGACCCGAAAGATCTAATCCCGAACTAAGCCCGGCCCGAACCCGACCCGACCTGACCATTTTACACCCTTACATATATATGATGTCTTAACTATCTGTGAGAAATGTATTTCATTTCCAATATTCACAATTTCGTATATTTATTATATCCAAACAAATATTTGGTTTTATTATCTACATCTAATCTATTTGAACTAATTAAAAAATACAATAAAATTTATGATCATCCATATATACAAGATATTCAAAATTCAAAATATAAAAAATATAAAATATCTAAACTTTGTTTTTTTAATACCAATCTTAAAGCAAAAGCATATCCAAGATATGTTCTACTGTTTTGCGATAGTTAGCTAACCATTAACATTGTAATTATATGAACATGCGAACATATAGAGCACATTTCGTACAAGAGCAATTGAAACATGGATTCTTAAAACTGCTTCACATGAAAACCCATAAGAATGTGGCTGATCTCTTGTCCAAACCATCAATTATGGGTCGATATCAACTTCTGCTACCCAAAATGAAATATATCATTTATATACATCTTATCTTCAGGAAATATTAGCTGACACGGTTATATATTTATTATACTATGACATCATAATCACTTTTGATAGCATTATTTCTTTGTCCTAATTAATTGCCCTCTTGGGAAAATCGTTGATCACGAGTGAGTTTTCAAAAGTCAGACTGTACGATGTTGTAATTTCTCTTTCAATTATTTAGATGCTGTGTTTGAATAACTTCGAGGAATCTGTGCCATCTTGGTCTAAGGGTTCGACTGGTTGTACCGCAGCGGTTGCGGTTGCGGGTGACAGCGTTTTCAGAACGTTTGATAGCGATTATAAATGATTAGTACTGACTGGTTGAGAAGTTGTTGTTGGTAGCGATTGCGGGTGGGTGCAGTTAGAAGTGAATGGTTCATTACGGTTGCGGTTGCGTTTTGATATAAATTATTATTTAAAAATAATTTTTTATAATAGTTTTAATTGAAGTTTTCGTATCATTTGATAAAAATTATTTACTAAATTTATAATAATTAAATAATAAATTTAAAATAGAAATATTATCAATTTAATTTATTTTGAGTAAAAAAATAATTTTATTATAAAAATTATTAAAAATAATCATTATTAAACTTAAAAATTATACTATTATATTTTTTTTATTAAAATATAATACTAAAAAATAATATCAAATCATAACACTAAACAAAATCATCACCAATATATATATTAATGTTTTATATAATTTCTAATAAAAATATTTTAGTTTTTTTGTCAAAACGCCGGAAACCGCTACCAAAACGCAAGTTGAAAGCTGTGATTAGAAAACACAAGTTTGGTTGCGGTTGCGGTTGGTTGCGGTTGGTTGCGGTTCAACCAGTCAGTTTTTCAATCGCCCACAACCGCCGAAAATCGCAACAGCTCCGTTTGCGGGTGGCGGCGGGGCAACCAGTCGCCCCCTTATTGTAAAATAAACATCTACTCTTACATAGTGTACCGCGGTATTTTATTTCATTATTATAATTTTCATTATTAGGTGTTGACTGGTGGAATCGCAATCGCAATCGCGGTGATTGCGGGCGTTTACGATGCGTTTGCTGGCGATTCTAGGCGATTGGTACTCACACCCGCCGAAAATCGCAACCGCTCCGTTTGCGGGTGACGGCGGTGCAACCAGTCGCCCCCTAAGTGAATAAACAGAGATGGATAGTAGATGAGATCTTCGAGGAATTATTGCACTCGTTGTTGTATATTTTAGAGTAAAAAGGTTGGCAATAATAATCTCTAAAAAAATTCATAGTTATATATATTGCGAATATTTATATGTATTGCGAATATGGTGAATGAGTTAAATGTTCGTAAATGATACGATATGAATCAATAAAACACGTATTTGTTTTGGCAGCAAAACGCATTAGGGTTAATTCGGCTGAGTCAGTGGTAACTCAGTCCAAGTCAATTGTAACTCAGAGTCAGTTTTCATAAAATGAACAGATACAATTCTTCGCATGAAAACTGTCACATTTTACAACTTTTGATGATGTCTTTTAGTATTTTATATATTAAAGACATCAGAACAAGTGAGATAATGAAAATCTAATCCAAATTTGAGAGATTTTGAGTGAACTTTTTGATTGTTCTTGCAAATCAATCAAAAAATGTTGTGTTCATCTTTTTCTACACAAGTTTCTTGTTTTGGTGATTGTTGTAGAGTAAAACAAAATCATTGTCTCTTCTTTGTATATCATAAATGTGTTTCGGTATCCCCTTTGTTCATTTGGGACGAAATAGCGTTTTCGAAAAGTGATTATCATGCCTAGAAGAGTTACTCGGTTTCCATTCTTTTCATATCCACTTTTCTAACACTTGTGACCGGTGGAGCTAGAGGGATCGGGTCTGTCTTCTTCTTTTTGCTTATTAGCCCATTGCCCATTTTCCATGTTTTTAGTTTTTAACATGATGATATATGTACACATATATGTGTGTGCGTGTGTTTATATAGGTATGTGTAATGTGTGTATGAGAAGCTAATTAACCTCTTTATCATTATAACCACTTTTTCTCAGCACTCCCTTTTTGACCTAATTACAATCTCTTCACAAAAAAAAAATTCTTTCTTTCCTACAAAAACGTGGATCACGAGTGAGTTTTCGAGAATAGGGACCAAACTTTACGATGTTGTTTCTCTTATAATTATTTAAGCGCTGTGTTTGTATAACTTCATTTCTGTCTAATTGAGCCTCTTTATTTTTTTCCGATAAAGTATTTATCTCGAAGTGAACAAAGGAGATGGATAGTAGATGGAGTCTTCGAGGAATGACTGCTCTCGTGACCGGTGGAGCCGGAGGGATCGGGTTCGTCTTTTTCTTTTTGCGTTTTAACTCATTGCCATGCTCTTAATTAGTTTTAACACGACATTTCGGAATGTTTATTAGACATGCAATAGTGGAGGAACTTGCTGGATTCGGGGCAAGAATCCACGCATGCGACAAGTCCGAGGTTCGTCTAAACCAAAGCTTACGTGAATGGAAAGAGAAGGGCTTTCAAGTCAGTGGTTCAATCTGTGACGTGTCCTGTCGGCCACAGAGAGAGAAACTCATGCAGACGGTCTCATCTTTGTTTGGTGGCGAACTCAACATTCTTGTAAGCAAAATCTTCTTAATTAAGCTTTGTATTGATTAGCCATATACATATATAGATTCTTGTATTTAATTGGCCAACGTTGTGGCATACATTCCTTTTCTCAAAAAAGATACACAACGCCGGCATATGTGTGATAAAGCCAACCGTAGAATACACGACCGAAGATTTCTCGTTAGAGATGGCTACGAACTTCGAGTCCGCTTTCCATCTTTCCCAGCTTGGCCATCCTCTCTTGAAGGCCTCGGGATCTGGGAGCATCGTGCTAGTGTCCTCAATTGGCGGGGTTGTATCAGTTCCTGCTGGGTCTATCTGCAGTGCGTCAAAAGGTATGTAGTAAGTGCTTCACTTGGACATAGAGAAAACGAGATATAGATTTTGTTGTTCAGATTATGCAAAATGCATTGCCAAAATTTCTAGAATCATCTCTGAACACATGTATGTATGAAGAGTGTGTATATATATATATATGCAGGAGCTATGAACCAACTAACAAGAAACTTGGCTTGCGAGTGGGCGAGTGACAGAATAAAGGCTAACGCTGTTGCTCCTGGTCTTGTCTTAACACCTCTGGTACTATATGTAACCAAAGCATTTCAATTGCGAAAACTTGTTAATATTTAAGTAACTACTATTCTTCACACTTATCTTATTCCAAATCTTGTTCAATTCGAATGGACACCGATTGTCTCTCTCTGAAAACTGGTGTTAACTTCGGCACCGTTATGGGTTAGCTTGAAGAGCATCCCGACGGAGATATATTCTCTCCAAGGTATCAGCTATATAGCTAGTGGAATAGGTGAGCCCCTTCGCACTGAAAAAATGCGATTGGACCCTCTGAGTATTGGCAAGTCTAGAGTCAAGATGAAGATTCAACTTTTGGTGCACATCTCCCTGAGGCAGTAGAAGTAAAGGATGAGAAGGGTGGCGTTATCCGATTTATAGTTGAGTACTCATAGATCACACCTAGATGTTCGCATTGCGAAGAGTTTGGTCACAAGCTCCCTAATTACCCCGTCGGGAAACAGTTTAGTAAAGCACCTGTTGTGAACCCTCCGCCGAAGCAGTCTACGCCTTCGGAAAACCTCCTAAGTAACCCACCTTCAACTCCGGCCTCGGCAGTCCCTGCTCCTGAGCAAACTTCCTCTGGACCATCTTCCCCTTCCGCTACTCCTGAGCCAATTTCCCCTGAGCCAACTCCCCTTGTCCCAGCATTAATGCTCCTTACCACTACTCAACCGAAAGCTGCATCTTTAAACCCAAAGCCCCCCCCCCCCGCCTCATCCGACCCCTCCATCAAAGGAACATTCTCAAGGAATTTTTAAGTCTGTCTCAACCTTTAATCAAGCACGACAGAGGGAGAAGCACACCTGCGGATCCAAGATGAGTTATACCTTTGATTCTGAAGACGAACTAGTCCAAGAAGGCCAGCGAATGTTACGCGCTAGGTCGGCTATTGCCCCCAAAATCTCCCCTGACTTCTCAGTAGTCACGCGGTGTCGTAAGTGTAAAAGTCGCGTCAAATGATCTCCACCGCAAATATTTGTCCACCTTTTGTCCTTTTGGTACAATGATAAGCTATGATGAAACTCTTTTGTCGGAACGTACGCGAAAGAAATGACTCTGTCAAAAAGCGGAGTGTTCGACGATGGATAGATGGTCAGAAGTCCTCCATTGGTTATTTGACAGAAAAACTGATTTGGCTATTGATATTCCTGTGAATCTTTCTTAGCTTATGGTTCTAATATTTTGATCGATTGTAATTCTCCCAACTTCATCCTCGTTTTTGCTCTATTTTGGATGTAACTCAGTGTAATGGGGCAACATACATATATATAAAATTTACCGTTTACCAAAAACAAAAATCTTGTTCAATTACTTGTGTGTGTGTGTTTTTTCAGGTTGCCAGTCACAAGAATTTATTGGAGGGTGTCAAGTCAAGAACCCCACTCGGTCGTCTTGGAGAGCCGAAGGAGGTTGCAGCAGTGGTGGCGTTTCTGTGTCTCCCTGCATCTTCTTACGTAACTGGTCAGACCATCTGTGTTGACGGAGGTTTCACTGTTAATGGTTTTTCTTATAAACCACAGTCTTGAACCGTCGGAAACTCTTGCAAAATACATAATGCGTACAGTTGCAAGTTTATATCATACTATAAACAAATGATGTTAAGAGTTTCACCATATGTATAACTAAGGTGATGCATGTCCGTCGTTGTATTACAGTTATGGATACGATGAGTACTTGAACTGGTGTGTGTATGATTATACCATGTTTTAACGACTTATCTTATTTTATGCACAGCGGGGGGAAACGTATATTTGTTTGTGTTGACATTATTTTAACAGAGAAGCTTCTATACCGGTTGGTCCAATACATCCTCCATGGTACGGATCCCAAATAATGTAATCAAAGATCTTACCTTTTCTCTAACATTAGAAACTCGATAAAGGTTTTAAATCCCACCTACTACGGGAATTTATGAGGCCCGGTTTCTGGGAAACAAACCTCTATATATATATATACACACACACCCCATTTAAGAACAACTAATACATCGCAACAAAGCACAGAACAGCAACAAAAAACCGAAATCGACCCACAATAACAATTACTTGCACTACAAGTCACCGGCGGAGAAAAATAAAACTATCCTCAATCGGATTCGTTTACGATTAATTCCACAGTTTCAAGCATGCCTTCCATATTTACCATGTCCGAAAGTTTCTGAGGAACCTTCTGGCTTTTGTTCGGTTCATTACAGGTGGGTCATGTTTTTTTTTTTTTTTTGATAAATAAGGTGGGTCATGTTTCCTCATTCTGAGAGGTCAGAACAAATCCCTAGTCATTTATCCCTCCATTGGGATTTGGAAGTGCATCAATGCTGGAATGGTTTGATCACTGTGCAGAAGAATATCAAGAAAATTTTGTTTTTAGATGAAACAATAAATACATTCATGTACAAGTGGAAATATTGCATGGCCTTATTCAGAATTGTATTTTTTTTTTTTGGGGCAAAATATGGGATAGTCTCGATCCAATCAACTGATTAATTCTTTTGACTCTTAATTTTTTTTTTATCAACTTTCATATAAAATTGTTTACATATATAGAGACCTTTTATTCCATAGTAGTCTCTCCATTGTTTGGATATTTGAGTATAAATTGGTTTTCATTTAAAAAAAAAACTAAAATAATTTTTTATTGATGCATTTAACGTTTGATAAAAAAAAATTGTGCAACATTTTAAAATATCATTTTAAGTTTTAATGAATTTTGATATTTTAAAATGTTGCACAACTTTTTTAATACCATTTTTCCAATATCTAATACCATTTTTTAATACAATCCTTAAATTAAATTCGAAATTTAATACCATTTTTCCAATATCTAATTCAGGGTTTTTTTTTTTCCAGTAATCGTTTCCTACTTTCTAAGTACAAAGTTTTCAATGTTTCAACTATAATATAACATCTTCAAAGTAAAACAAGACCAAATATTCATTGCTATATAAAGATTACCAAATTTGGAAATCTCTAACCATCTTTGATATATATTTATTCTACTATGTACGATATTTTTACGTGCCTATATTTCGATACTATTTTTAAAACTATTACATTGTTACTGTTTCGTATCATTTTGGTCGTAAAATGGTTTGTTAACCCTCTTTATCATTACACCCACTTTTTCTTTTTTCTTAGCACTCCCTTTTTGACCTAATTAATATCTCTTCAAAAAAAAAAAAATTCTTTCATGGGAGAACGTTGATCACGAGTGAGTTTTCAAGAGTAGGGGCCAAACTTTACGATGTTGATTCTCTTACAATTATTTAAACGCTGTGATTGTATAGCTTCAATTGTGTCTAATTGAACCTCTTCATTTTTTTTCGGTATAATATTTCTCTTGAGTGAACAAACGGAGATGGATAGTAGATGGAGCCTTCGAGGAATGACCGCTCTTGTGACGGGCGGAGCTAGAGGGATCGGGTATGTCTTCTTCTTTAGTTTGCGTTTTAACTCATTGCCATGCTCTTCATTAGTTTCAACGTGACATTTCGGAATGCTTGTTAGGCACGCAATAGTGGAGGAACTAGCTGGATTTGGAGCAAGAATCCACACATGCGACAAGTCAGAGGTTCATCTCAACCAAAGCTTACGAGAATGGAAAGAGAAGGGCTTTCAAGTCAGTGGTTCAGTCTGTGACGTATCCTCTCGGCCACAGAGAGAGAAACTCATGCATACAGTCTCCTCTCTGTTTGGTGGCAAACTCAACATTCTCGTAAGTAAAAATCTTCTTAAGCTTTATATAAAACGGACATATACATATTCTTGATTTTTGGCCAACAATGGCACTCTTTCTTTTTCTTGAAAAAGATAAACAACGTCGGCATATGTGTGACAAAGCCAACCGTAGAATACACGGCCGAAGATTACTCGTTACAGATGACTACAAACCTCGAGTCCACCTTCCATCTCTCCCAGCTCGGGCATCCTCTTCTGAAGGCCTCTGGATATGGGAGCATCGTGCTAGTGACCTCAATTGGCGGAGTTGTATCAGTTCCTTCCGGGTCTATTTGCGGTGCGTCAAAAGGTATGTAGGTGCTTCACTCGGACATAGAGAAAATGAGATGTAGATTTTGTTGTTCAGATTATATAAAATGAGATGCCAAAAATTCTAGAATCATCTCTAAACACATGTATGAAGAGTGTGTGGGTGTATATATATATATATGCAGGAGCTATGAACCAGCTGGCAAGAAACTTGGCTTGCGAGTGGGCGAGCGAAGGAATAAGAGCTAACGCTGTTGCTCCTAGTCTCGTCTTAACTCCTCTGGGACAATATGTAATCGAAGCACTTCCATTGCAAAAACTTATTAACATCTATAAGCGGTTACTATTCTTCACACTTATCTTAATTATTCCAAATCTTGTTCAATTACTTGTGGGTTTTTTTTTTCAGATTGCTAGTCACAAGAATTTACAGGAGGGTATTGAGTCAAGAACCCCACTCGGTCGTACTGGAGAGCCGAAGGAGGTTGCAGCACTGGTGACGTTTCTGTGTCTCCCTGCAGCTTCTTACATAACCGGTCAGACCATTTGTGTTGACGGAGGTTTCACTGTTAATGGTTTTTCTTATAAACCAGAGTCTTCAACCGTCGGAAACTCTTCCAAAATGCATTAAACTTACAGACTGTAAGTTTCTAATACTAAATAAATAATGCAAGAGTTTCATAATATATATATATATATATATATATATAAATAATAAATTAAAGTGACCCATGTCCGTCATTGTGTCTCAGTTATGAATACGATGAATACCTGAACTGGTGTGTATGATTATATGGTGTTTCGCTTATCTTTTTTATACGTATATTTATTTGTATTGAAATTATTTTAACAAAGAAGCTTCTATACTGGTTGGTCCAATACATCCTCCATTGTACGGATCCAAAACAATGTAGTCAAAGATCTTACCTTTTCTCTAAGGTTTGACCTCGATGAAGGTTTTAAATCCCACCTAGTACGGGAATTTGTGAGGCCCGGTTTCTGGTAAACAAATCTACGTCCAATACATAGAATACCCACGAGGGCAAAACTCTAAACGCCATATATAGCCGTCTCATACGTTTTCGGAGCCCCGTACAAAAAATATTTATTTTTATTATTAAAATTTTAAATTTAGATAACAAAAAAAAAATTAGACAGTATCAATTCCACCCACATGGTGAAGGAAAGGAAGCGCTCTCCAGAGCAATTATTGGAGGCGGCTCCCACAGGGCCTAGGGCCTTCGATCGATCTCTTTGCCTCCGTCGGCCTCCGTTGTCTCTACAATATGTTCTCAGTCTTCTACCCCTTCTGTCTCTCCTCTTACATCCACTTCTCACTCTCTCTTTCCCCAAACCTCTCTCACTGTTCCACCTGTGTTTCCTTTGATTTCACCAAACCCTAATTCCCAAATTCTCCATAATCCCACAAAATTAGTTGAGGGCTCTTCCTTTACTCCGTCGGCTACATCCCTGTCTAACCCTGATATTTTGCTCTCATTCCCCCCTGCAACTCGTTGAATCCTACTCCACCCATCCCTAGCGCGGCGAAAGTCGTGTCCCCTACTCTAGACCCTTCTTCTATTCCCGGTAACCATACATCTTGAGCTTGGAGTAAACCTAATTTTCTTTGGGGACAAATTTATCGATTTAAATAATATCATTCTTCTAACTTTAGTTCTAACTTTATTTGAAGCAAAAATATACATGTATGTTGTTATTGAAGACAATAAATATACAATGGAATGATAATATTATCACTAAAAAATAAACATTGATAATACAACATTTTAAAATGTGTGATGTTCATAAAAATTAAAAGTATAAGTGAAGGGTAAGATATGAGAGTGGTTTTTTATAACAAATTTTGGATTGAAAAGATGGATAATGTAAAATTAATATTTATTTTAGATTTATAGAAAAAATTATAATTATTAATTATATTAACTAAAAAAATGAATATCATAATGATAAAAATTATAATTATTAATGAAAAATACTATAAAGATACCTTCTACCTTTTTAAGGGTCCCATATACACATTGTGAAAGGGGATACTTCTTTTTCATGGCGAAACTCGGAAATTTTACAATATATGAAAACCAAACGCCAAACTCAGTAATCAACATTGGAGAAGATATATATATATATATATATATATACACCATTAAGAATAACTAATGCATCGCAACAACGCACAAAACAACAATAAACCGAAATCAACACACAATCACAATTACTTGCAGTACAAGTCACCGGCGGAGAAAAATAAAACCATCCTCTCTCGGATTCATTTACGATGAATTCCGCAATTTCAAGCTTATATTTACCATGCATGTACAAACATGTTACCTAAAATTTTCCCTGCAGCACTGTAGTCTTTTTTTTAATATTATATATATATATGTCTATATATATATTGTATATATATTGTATATTTTTTTTTTATTTTTTTTTTTAATTATTTTTAATTATTTTTATTTTTATCTGACGTGGCGAATGGCGAGGCGTTGAGTCATCCGTCACGTCAGATCGTCCGTTAACTAATTTAACGTCGTTTAACGTCGATGAGGTTTTTGTCAAAAATTTACAAGTTCAGTATTTTTTATGTCAAAATTGACGAATTCATATTTAATTTGGAAGTTTGAAAAGTTCGGTATTAATATGTTAGAGATAGTTCAGTAATTTTTTTAGGATTTTCCCTTTATAATAACCATGGGTTTTGGTCCAACACAACACAACTAGAACTCCTTTCATGCTATAAAATAATTTCTTCACCTTCCATCCAATACATTTTCAAAGATATGGATTTTAAAAAAAAAACATGACCCTATTTTCCGCCGCTAAAAATTGAAATCCTGGGAAAGAAAAAAATTTGGGTGGGTCCCCACCGACCTCTTTCGATTTGGTGCAAGTTGGTGTAAATCGTGTTTGGTCCAAGTTGGTTGCTGACAGCGCCATAGGACTCGGGCTTTAATTAGGAAACAGAAAATAAATGTGCAGATGCAACCAATGAACTTAAATAAGAATTCTAACAATTATCGCTCCATATATAGCTTTGTTTTCGTTACCTCTTTCGATTTGTCAAGTCTTCGACTACAGTCGGACATGACCATTGCCTAACTAGATAGATGACCACTCATCTTCCATGTTACATCTATAAAAACACGGTTGAATCTCTCGAGATTTTTGTCTGTGGGATATTGAAATAATCGCTCGTAGCTGGAATGGCTAAGGCTGAGGAAAGCATCAGACAGAACAGCAGATGGAGCCTTCAAGGCAAGACGGCTCTCGTAACTGGCGGGACGAAAGGCCTCGGGTTAGTTCTCCCCCCTTCCATTTTTCCGACAAACGATCGATCGATACAGATGATCTTTGATTTATGCTACGTGTTCCATTTCCTAAATCCCAATCTGAAATTGAATATATATGATAAGCAAAAACCCATGTTTGAATGTTGGACAGAAAGATACCTAAACCTAATCCAAAACCCAGAAAAAAAAACAGTCAATCGAAATCTTATAAATTCGGGATTTGAATGGTTGTGGTTTTCAAAATTTTTCGAATCCAAAAACCAAAAAATATTCAGTAAAGATCATATAAATTTAGTTTTTCTAAAACTAGATAAATATTTTGTTGAAAAAAAATGAAGAGTAAAAACCTTTTTTATTAGATTTTCAATGAAAATTTGAATTTTTTTTGTTAGACTATTTCATTTTTCATTAAAAATTAATTACATAAATTTATTCGTGATTTTTAAAAAAAAGTTTCACCCATTTATACATACGTCTATTTAAAGACACGATTTTTATAATATTTATCACAATTCTTCAAATTATATTATTAAAATACATACTATTGTTATATTAAATTTATGCATGAAAATTTTTCCATAAAAATATCAGATTGTTTTAACCTATTTTTGCAGCTATATAGGATTCTCGACAATGATATTTTTTTAATGGAATCTTGTTTTTTCCAAATAAATATTTTCTTTGTTTTTTTATAACAAAACATTTTCTTTGTTAATTTTGAAGTAATTATATTAGGATATTACAAATAACAAATTATGATATTTTTATTTTTCTATTAATGCTTTGTTAAAAATAAAACCACGCAAACCCTAATACTAATTAAAAATAACTGCCACACACAACTTGGTAACCGCCAAGGTTATACCTCTCAGTTGAATAAACGGACGAAACCATACCGAACCGAAAAACTCTTATCGTTTCCAAACCGAATCGTTCAAATTTCTTGAACAATATTTTTTTATAATTCAAAACCGAATTAAATTTTAAAAATTTCACACTGAAATATTTTTTAAAAATATAATTTTTCTTAATAAAAACCCGATGTGAACATATTTTTGTAGCACCAAAAAAGCCGAACCGAATAATTTCCGGATACCGAAACATCCACCCGTAGAATAGGCCTCCGTGCTCCCATCTCTTGAAATGGAATTAACTTCCACAACTTCAGTATTCAAAAATTCTCCTTCAGTCCTCGAGATAAATACCAGCACAGTAACATGCATGTTCCAATGTGTTTATACAGCGAAGCTGTCGTTGAGGAACTAGCTGGGTTTGGGGCAAGAATTCACACGTGTGCCAGAGACGGAGACCACCTTAACAAATGCTTACGTGAGTGGCAAGCGAAGGGCTTTCAGGTCACCGGTTCTGTCTGCGACGTGTCGCTTCGGACCGAACGAGAGAAGCTCATGGAGACAGTTTCGTCTCTCTTCAATGGCGAACTCAACATCCTCGTCAGTAACTCTCGTGTGTTGGATTCATGAATTCTGTATGATATTATTGAGTGGACCGAATCGACTTCGTTGTGGCGCAGATAAACAACGTCGGAACCAACATGACGAAGCCGACCACTGAGTACACGGCGGAAGATTTCTCGTTTCTGATGGCTACGAACTTCGAGTCTTCTTACCATCTGTGTCAGCTCTCTCATCCTTTGCTCAAGGCCTCTGGATCTGGGAGCATAGTGTTCATGTCCTCTGTTTGTGGGGTTGTGTCCATTAATGTTGGATCCATCTATGGGGCAACAAAAGGTATGTTCCAAAAACACCTAAAGCTTTCATGCATATCACTTTAACCGTTGCTTATTTAGGGTAAGTTAGGCTATGTTTTAAGATATAAATATTGGGATCCATTAATTATCGTCTCCAAAAAAATTGAAGATTTAAGATTTAGATATTATTTGTCAATTTTCTATTTTTGAACGGACGATTAGAAAATATAGAGATCAGATATTCTATATAAGATAGTGGTCTCTTTGTGATTGATATAGCAAAAATTTTCTTACCGTAACGCATGTGAACGAATAATTTTGCTTATTAATCTACAATATTACTATTCGGATTTCGACATAATTTTATCATGATTCTTTTATATACTCCGTTATGACACCTTTTTTTTTGTTTATTTATTTATGTTGGATTGATTCTTTGCGTGATATATAATATGATAAATAGATCCACAATTATTCAGCAAAATCTGTAAATTTTGCTATGATTCCGTTGCACTCTACAAATTAGGCCATATATACTTCACTTGGCAATATACATGCTTGATCCATATAGGTCACCTAGTATTATTTCGTTGCATCACTATAAGCCAATACAATGTCAATGCATATATATTTTTCAGTTCCGCATAAATATGTATACATATGAATTGGTTTGCAGGAGCCATGAATCAGCTGACGAGGAACCTAGCGTGCGAATGGGCAAGCGACAACATTAGGGCTAACTCCGTCTGTCCGTGGTTCATCTCAACTCCTTTAGCTTACAGAGTAAGGGAAAAACAACATCACATTTTTAATTGAGATTCTCTAATGTTCTGCTTCTTATCATCAAGTGACGGTCCATACATATAATTAATTTCGATTATCAGTATCTCGAGGATGAGAAGTTCAAAGAAGCGGTCGTGTCCAGAAACCCGATAAGGCGTGTGGGGGAGCCAGAGGAGGTCTCTTCACTCGTGACCTTTCTGTGTCTCCCGGCGGCTTCTTACATAACCGGTCAGACAATTTGCGTGGACGGAGGTATGACCGTCAATGGCTTCTCGTTCTCGGCTTAAGCAGAAAATGCTAAGGGCACGGTTGAAGTTTCCCAAGTTTCAGTCTCGAAAAACAACGGAATTAATCACGATCCTACAGTTGTATTGTATGGTCGTGAAAAATGAAATATGATGTAGTATGAACATATATTACTACATATATGTCTTTGAATGTTGCAGTAAAAACTCTCTCTTCACATCTCTCTAAACTCACAATATAATATACAAATTAGCTTTTTTTTTCAGTTATATTATTGAAATGGATGCAGAAATTGGGACATGGGTCGTGTGGTAATCAATTTTGATAAATTGGACTTTATAATGTTAGATTAAAAATTTTGTTTCACCTATCAATAAAACCAAAATTATTATATTTGTTTTTTTTATAATTGTATATAGTTCATGTACTTTTTTGAATCATTTACAAAATTTATTATTTAGATCACTTAAAAAGTTTAGTGTTTTTTTAAATTTATTTAAAAAGTTTAATTTTTATTTGACAAAAACAAAAGTTTAGTGTTTTTTTCGTCAAAGTGTTTTTTTTTTTAATTTTCCATTATTATTATTTTTATTGTTATTATCATAATAACCATATTTGATATATATTTATTCTACTGCATATGATATTATTACGTGCGTGTATTTCGGTGCAATTTTCAAACCCGTTACGCTAATACTGTTTCATATCATTTTGGCCGTAAATGGTTTGTCAAGAAACTAAGCCTTTTTTTTATTATTTTTAAATTTTGAATTTTTTGTATTTTATATAAAATTAATAACTATTGCCCCACTTTAAAAAATTTATGGATCCGCCAGTGCCCCGGTTGGTCCAAATCCAATACATCCTCCATGGTACAGATCCAAAATAACGTAATCAAAGAACTTACCTTTCCCGTAAGATTTGAACTCGGACGAACATGATGTTTTATATCCCCACAATTAATTCCACAATTTCAAACTTGTGTTCCATATTTACTATGCCCAAACATGTCCGAAAGTATCTGAGGAACCTTCTGGCTTTTGTTCGGTCTCCCAGTCCGTATTCTCTCCATCCATTATCGGTATGTGAATCAAAATAGAAAAAAAAAAAAAAAAACTAAAATGGATTTGTTAAATTTATTGTTTTATAGAAGATGGAAAGAAAAAAAAACAATTTACTGTTGATATATCTCTCGGCAGGGGACTTTATACTAGGCAACAAGTTGTTACCTAAATTTTTTTGTTTTAATTTCATTTTATTATTATTTTTTATCCTAAAATGAAATTATTTTCTTCTTTGGACTAATTAGTATTATTCACCTTCCATCCAATACATTTTTTTTGTTACGATGGGAAACCCCTATCCTACAACCCTTCGGGTCAGACACCGGACACCGCAACGCCTCTCAGCCCGTGGACCGGACGAGAACGATATCTGAACAGCATCGCAGATCTGAGAAAACCTACCGTCCCGTGCAATACCCGGCAAACCACACGGAGTAGGTAAAACAGCCTCGTAAAACTAGCCGGCTAAGGGGAGTACCATACCATAGGTTTCGAACCAACAACCTCTCGGTGTGGGTTATCATTAACCACTGGGCTGGGTACTCCCCATCCAATACATTTTCAAAGATATGGATTTAAAAAAAATATATATGACCCTATTTCCCGCCGCTAAAAATTGAAATGCGGGGAAAGAAAACAATTTGGGTGGGTCCCCACAGACCCCTTTGGATTTGGTCCAACTTGAAGGTGTAAATTGTGTTTGGTCCAAGTTGGTTGCTGACAGCGCCATTTATGGGACTCGGGCTTTAATTCGGAAACAGAAAATAAATGTGCAGATGCAACCAATACAATGAATTCGAATAAAAATTCTAACAATTATCGCTCCATATATAGCTTTGTTTTCGTTACCTCTTTCGATTTGTCAAGTCTTCGACTACAGTCTGATATGACCATTGCCTAACTAGATAGATGACCACTCGTCTTCCATGTTACATCTATAAAAACACGGTTGAATCTCTCGAGATTTTTGTCTGTGGGATATTGATATAATCGCTCGTAGCTGGAATGGCTAAGGCTGAGGAAAGCATCAGACAGAACAGCAGATGGAGCCTTCAAGGCAAGACGGCTCTCGTAACTGGCGGAACGAAAGGCCTCGGGTTAGTTCTTCCTCCTTCCTTTTTCCTACAAACGATCCATACAGATGATCTCTAATTTATGATAAGCAAAAACCCATGTTTGAATGTTGGACAGAAAGATACCTAAACCTAATCCAAAAAAAAACAGTCAATCAAAATCTTATAAATTTAGGGTTTGAATGGTTGAGGTTTTCTAAATTTTTGAAATCCGAAAAACCAAAAAAAAATAATAGTCAAGATCTTATAAAGACACGATTTTTATAATATTTATCACAATTCTTCAAATTTATTATTTAAATACATACTATTGTTATAATATAGACTTCCATGCTCCACATCTCTTGAAATGGAATTAATTTCAACAACTTCAATATTCATAACTTCTTCTTCAGTACTCCTCGAGACAAATACCAACGCAGTAACATGCATGTTCCAATGTGTTTATACAGCGAAGCTGTCGTTGAGGAACTAGCTGGGTTTGGGGCGAGAATTCACACGTGTGCCAGAGACGGAGACCACCTTAACAAATGCTTACGTGAATGGCAAGCGAAGGGCTTTCAGGTCACGGGTTCTGTCTGTGACGTGTCGCTTCGGACTGAACGAGAGAAGCTCATGGAGACAGTTTCGTCTCTCTTCAATGGCGAACTCAACATCCTCGTCAGTAACTCTCGTGTGTTGGATTCATGAATTCTGTATGATGTTATTGAGTGAACCGAATCGACTTCGTTGTGGAGCAGATAAACAATGTCGGAACCAACATATGGAAGCCGACCACTGAGTACACGGCGGAAGATTTCTCGTTTCTGATGACTACGAACTTCGAGTCGTCTTACCATCTGTGCCAGCTTTCTCATCCTTTGCTTAAGGCCTCTGGATCTGGGAGCATCGTGTTCATGTCCTCTGTTTGTGGGGTCGTGTCCGTTAATGTTGGATCCATCTATGGGGCAACAAAAGGTATGTTCCAATCTTGGGAAAAAAAACCCTAAAGCTTTCCTGCATATCAGTGATATCACTTTAACCATTATCTATTTATTTAGGGTTTGTTAATTAGATTATGTTTCAAGATTCTATATTAATATGGATCAATAAATATGATAATATATTTGCAGATATTATTTTAATAATCGGATAATTTGTTATCTATATATATATATATATAACATATTGGGGTCCATTAATTATCGTCTCGAAAAAATTTAAGATTTAGATATTGTTTGTCAATTTTCTATTTTTCAGTTCCGCATAAATATGTATACCTATGAATTGGGTTACAGGAGCCATGAATCAGTTGACGAGGAACCTAGCGTGCGAATGGGCAAGTGACAACATTAGGGCTAACTCCGTCTGTCCATGGTTCATCTCAACCCCTTTAGTTTACAGAGTAAGGGAAGAAAAGAAAAAAAAAAAAACACCACATTTTTTAATGGAGAACATGATCTGTTTCTAATCATCAAGGTGTCGGTCCATATATATATATAATTTCGATTATCAGGCTCTGGAGGATGAGAAGTTCAAGGAAGCGGTCGTGTCCAGAAGCCCGATAAGCCGTGTGGGGGAGCCAGAGGAGGTATCGTCACTCGTGACCTTTCTGTGTCTCCCGGCGGCTTCTTACATAACCGGTCAGACAATCTGCGTGGACGGAGGTATGACCGTTAATGGCTTCTCGTTCTCGGCTTAAGCAGAAAAATGCTAAGGACATGGTTGAAGTTTCCCCACGTTTCGATCTCAAAAAGCAACGGAAATAATCACAACCCTTGTATGGTCGTGAAAAATGAAATATGCTGTAGTATGAACATACATACATGTCTTTGAATGTTGCAGTAAAAACTCTCTCTCTTCACATCTTTCTAAATTCATAATACACAAATTAAGCCCTTTTTTTCAGTTATATTATTGAAATGCATGCAGTATGGGTCCTGTGGTAATCAATTTTGATAATTGGACTTTAATGTGAGATTGAAAATTTTGTTTCACCTACCAATAAAACCAAAACTGTTATTATTGTTGTTTTTTTTTAAATTTTCTTTTGGGTTTTGAAATATTCTGCAGCTAACTGTAAATAACAACAAAAAAGAACAGCTAATAAAATGCATTTTTTTAATATATAAAATAAAACTCCAACTCGTGTATCTGGACATGCATGTAAACCATGGTTAGTTTTGCAAGGTTAACTTTATTCACGTGAGACAAAAAGCCCTTAGGCGCGTGTCCCTTTCGGACATGTGTTCAGGGGAATCTCTATAGTGTCAACGTGGCTACACATCCTCATCCTTATAATACATATATATATATACACACTGATACAATTTATGGCGGAGTGAATTTCTTTATTTTATTTATTGTGAATTATCAAAAAGAATATGTTACCACTTTATTTTAATTGACAATACAATAGAAAAAAAAAGGAATATATATTTAGGTTAAAGATGATAAGTCTAATAATTATGTAACTCATATAACAATAGGTACGGAAATAGAATACAATTTAACTATATTACTAATTTATTTACGTGAATACATTGGATGGAAGTCTTTTTTGACGATCAACGGATGTCTTTTTCACTTGGATTACAGTTTATATTCCAATTTCAAATTAAAAATTACGATATTTCAATCAAAATATTGAGATTTTGAAATTTTTATGTGGCAATAAAATGCTATAAATTTCGCGATCGAGGAAAAGTGAACGGGACGACGCACCAAGAGATAGACCCGAATGATGTATTACCAAAATAGACTACCGGGGTGAAAGTGTGATTACCGGTTTAATAGATGCTATGACTACAAATATGCAAAAGAATGAAATTTATGGTGGGGTCCAAGTACACTACGATGGTAACACGTGTACGTTAAAGATTTAAATGGTGGGGCCCTTAGATTCTCTCTTTGAGAGAGTAAGACGATGTTACAGAAACGGACCCACACGCCGATGAACAACTGATACGTTGAAGCGTGGTTCGCCTACTAACTCAATCAAATTTAATTTAATTATATCTAATTTTAAAATCGATTAACTATATATATAAAGTTTTTAACCAGATAACGAAATAGATGTAATTAAAAATTAATTTTTTTAAAAAAAATAAAAAAAATAAATAGAATCGATTCAATACATCTCTAATTAGGCCACCTTTTCTTCTTTTTTTTTCTTTTCAAATTTAAAAATGTGTCTTAAAAAAGTCAAAAGTCCTGAATTCAAGGCTCTTGAAATGATAAGAATATAATTGCGTGAACTCTATTTAATCTCGTGACCAAATTAAATTCAACATGACATTGATTATATAGTTGTTCAAACAGCTACGGGATTTACTTATTTTGTATAAGATCCGGTCCATCTTTTAGAAAAAAAATCAAGGCATTATTGTGTATATAATATACTTTTGTTTTTTCATATCCGGCCATTTATGCCAACAGATTTATATTTGTATTCTCTCCTTCGATATTTTATTTTTCAATAAGTATTAAACACCAAAAGTAACACTGACAGCATTGTGAACAAGATACTAAATACTAATGTATAATAATTAAAATGATAAGAGGAAAAAGAAGAAAACGATACAATAATTAAAAAGATACGACGAGCAAATTAACGTAATGAAATTCTTTAGTTCAATTATTTTGAGAAAGATTTTTAAGACAGAGAGAAGACATTGGGAAAAAGCTCCTCCCTTAGGGAAGAGGACCACATTCGTGGCGCGAAAGGAACTCCCTCTTATCCGTGTTGTCTTATTTCTATTGGGCCACGTATCTTTCCACCGGCTGGTGACTCCTCACGTGGCGAATTTATAAACACTGCGGTGTCCAGATCAACGGCTGAGATCAAACCGTTGAGGCACAAGCCCATTACGTCACGTCGCCAGCGTAAATTTTGAAAAATAAAGAAAAATTCAAAGTCGAAAGTAAATTAAATTAATTTCGCCGAAAAAAAAAGGGTCGACCATGGCAGCCCTCCGAGTATATAAGGCAGATAGAGCAATGCGCGTATAGACGATATTTTCCTGTTGCATGGTTTCGCTTGCGTTTTCTCAATACAATAACCAAACAGAACTCGTTCATCTTGCCAGAGACGAGATTCATACGATCAAGTACTGGAGAATATAGTAAGGTCAGATATGGCGGATATTTGCTACGGAGTGGTGAAAGAAGACGAGTCGGCGGCGGTGGCGGCGGGTTGTGTTCCGAGGCCGGCGCGACGACGAAGAATGGGAATCCGGTTGTCGAGACTGGCTTCGGGGGTTTCGACGACGGCGGAGTCGTCGGAGGAAGAGCGATATTTGCTACGGAGTGGTGAAAGAAGACGAGTCGGCGGCGGTGGCGGCGGGTTGTGTTCCGGGGCCGGCGCGACGACGAAGAATGGGAATCCGGTTGTCGAGACTGGCTTCGGGGGTTTCGACGACGGCGGAGTCGTCGGAGGAAGAGCGTAAGAAGAAGGAAGAGAGAGGAGTGCTCGAAGGCGATATGGCGACGGATGAAAAAGACGGTTCCGGAGAATCTTCTGTTCTAGATTTGATAGAGGCGGAGGGATATCCGAAATACGGCGTCGCATCGTCGCGCGGTGGGAGAAGAGATATGGAGGACGCGGTGGCGATCCATCCTTTGTTATGCCCCGAATATTCTGGATCGAGATGGCACTACTTCGGACTGTACGACGGCCATGGCTGCTCTCACGTACGACGCCGTTTAATTTCCGTTTCGTCTTACTTTTCCAGTAATTTTCAAATTTTGAAATTCAAAATTGTTATGGTGAATCTGAAAATGGCGCCGTTTTCGCAGGTGGCTACGAGGTGTAGAGAGAGGCTTCACGAGCTGGTTCAAGAGGAGCTGCTTCGTGACGGCAAGGAGGATTGGAATCGCACGATGGAGCGAAGCTTCACGCGCATGGACAAGGAGGTTGCATTGTGCAAGGAGACCGTTACTGGCGCGAATTGCAGGTGCGAGCTTCAGACGCCGGATTGCGACGCCGTTGGATCCACCGCCGTCGTCTCCGTCATCACGCCGGAGAAAATCGTTGTCGCTAACTGCGGCGACTCCAGAGCCGTTCTCTGCCGTAACGGAAAACCCGTCCCTCTCTCCACCGATCACAAGGTCAGTCTCTCTCTCTCGACGTGGCGAGAGGAAGAAAATGTTTTCCCATTTCTTTATTTTGAATTTCACTTTCTCGGTAGCCAAACAAACCAACAGAAACCACCTGGAAAGCTCTGGTTCATACTTTTATTCTCGCGGGTTTATTCCATCATATTTTTTGTAATCCGTCAAAAATGTTTTATTCCATAGCACCGTAAATTAACGAACTTGAAAGTTATCTGACAAAGTTCAACGTGTTCATTGTCTGAACCACAGCCCGATCGCCCTGACGAGCTGGACCGAATCCAGGCCGCGGGAGGGAGAGTCATCTACTGGGACGGCCCGAGGGTTCTCGGAGTGTTAGCAACGTCGCGAGCCATAGGCGACAACTACTTGAAGCCCTACGTGATCTGCGAGCCAGAGGTAACCATAACGGACAGGACGGACGACGACGAATGTCTTATCTTAGCGAGCGACGGGTTATGGGACGTAGTGTCGAACGAAACGGCCTGCGCCGTGGCGAGCATGTGTCTCCGCGGGAAGGTTCGGACCGGAAGGCGACGAGCCGCCGCGAGAGTGACGGAGGAGGAAGAGAAGGTGGGGTCGAGGAATAGGCGGAGAAGTGGAGAGATCTCGGACCAGGCGTGTGGGGTGGCGTCTGTGCTGCTGACGAGGCTGGCATTGGCGAGGTACAGCACCGACAACGTCAGCGTTATCGTGATCGATCTTAGGAGGGGGACACGTTGATGGACACTAATTAGTCGGAGACTTTGGGACTCTTTTTATTGTTATTTTTTCTCTTTGTAAATTATTATTTTGTTTTTACTTCGGCCCTTGGGGGGTGAGAAGGCGAAAGCAAGCTCTCAATTAGGAAACATTGATAACAGACTTAGATCCGGTTTACGAAACCGGTGAAAACCGGTATGGTTTGTTATATAATATTTTTATAATCTTGTTTTTTTTGTCTTTCTGTATCTCATTTATTATTTCCGTCATCACGCAAATTAAAGTGAACAAAAAAAAATTATCGATAACCACAATAGATAATATATTTGTTCAAGTATTACTGCCGCACTATCACAAAATTATTGCATGTAAACTTGAAAAGGTATTAGTTGAAAAAATGTTCATGTCTGAGCCCGGGTTCGAACCGGGGACCTCTAGTGTGTGAGACTAGCGTGATAACCGACTACACCACCCAGACAATTGAAATAAGCAGAAAATTATTATTTCTATTCCTTAACATAGATTCCCTTAATACAAAAGAAAATCCGAATTTCATAAATGATACAATAAACTCTGTTATACAAACTTTGATAATTCGATTTCGAATGTGAGATAACAAAGACAAGTATTCTGAATCTAATGGTATGGTAGATATTATCTGTTTACTTTTTTTCACTAAATTAAAAGTTTTTTTTTTATAATTTGTATGGATGAGCATTTGACATAAAAAAAACTGTTAAATTAATTAATTTTTTGTGTACTAACTGAAAATAATTGTAGAAAAAAATAACAAAATTCATATTTTTATATTTACATCCTGTCAAAGAAATTTTTTTGGTGTCAATATATTTTAGTTTAAGAATCCCGTTTTTTGTTTATTTTATTAATGTATATTATATGGTCACTATTTGGTTTACAACAAAGACAAATTGTTCGGATCTAGATTTAAGACCCGATCCATATGTTCGTCCCTCCCCACCCAACACTTAAAAAACCTCGTAAAACAAAAATAAAACGTAAGAGGCCAAAATTAAGGATTTCGTTTCCACGATATTTAAATAAATAAATAAATATTATCCGTACAAATTGAAACCACTTTTGCATTTACTTTTCCGCCCCTCAAAGAAGAAGATTGATTATTCGAGTTCGCCCGCGACAAGTCACAGCGACTTATTTAGATCCCAACTCCGTTAACTTTAACGGAGATACCATCCCCGAAAACTAACGCCGAAGGAGTAACGGCCCAATCAAAGGACACGGCTTTAGAACTCCTTTACTCCGATAATGTGATACGATGACATTTTATTTTCCTTAATCTAAGAAAGAGAGAAAAGCTTGAGACTTTTCAAGAACAGAGCACCGGAGTTCATCTACACCTTGTCTCTTTATCGCCTGATCGAGGGTTCGTTTCTTTTCCAGTTTCATTTGAATCTCTGTTTCTTTTCTCTCTTTTCGTGAAATGGGTTTTGTTCGATCTTCCGTCATCTTAAAGTTTAAGGCATTTCCTGAAAAAATCGATCGCAAAAATGTTTTCTTTTTCCATTTTTTGTACTGTTTCAAATGACGGTATCTTTGTTCTTTCGTTTCAGATTGTTCGTCTGCTGAAGCGTGTACGGAAGATGGAGCTCGGGCAAGTTTACATTTCCAAGTCCTACGATGGTGTGGAGCCACCAGAATCATCCGACGAGATCGGAGGAGTCGCTGCGTCATGCGGAATGGCTTGCGCTTTTTCTAGGCAAGAACAGAGCAACTCTGACTGCAAAGAACGGGAAGAATCTACCAGAAGACTCTTCAGCCTCATGTTTCTGTACCTCGTTGTCATGTCCGTACAGATCGTTGGCGGGTTAAAGTCTAATAGCCTCGCGGTTATCACAGATGCCGCGCATTTGCTCGCCGACGTGGCGGGTTTCTCAGTTTCTATCTTGGCCATCAAGATTTCGAGTTGGGACGCGGATCCGTACAGCTCGTACGGATTCAAGCGGCTCGAAGTTCTTGGAGCCCTCTTGTCGGTTCAGCTCATATGGCTCGTGTCCGGTGTTCTTATCCACGAAGCCGTCGAAAGGCTCCTTAGCAGAACGAGAGAGGTGAATGGTGAAGCCATGTTTTTTATTTCAGCGTTCGGGTTCTGTGTGAACCTGGTTATGGTCATGTGGTTAGGACATGGCCACAACGATCATCACCATCATCATCATTGCAAGCCAAGGGAGAGCGAGGAGGAGACGGATCTTTTATCGGGTGGTTCAGGAAAAAGCTCAAAGGCAATAAACATCAACATCCAAGGAGCTTACCTTCATGTGATGGCTGATATGATTCAGTCTCTTGGCGTCATGATCGGTGGAGCCATCATATGGGCAAAACCCCAATGGTTAGTGGTTGATCTGATCTGTACTCTTGTCTTCTCCGCATTTGCTCTCGCCGCCACCGTCCCCATGCTCAAGAACGTATTTCGCATTCTGATGGAGAGCGCGCCGGGTAATGTGGACATGACAAAGCTCGAGAGAGGCCTCAGACGTATCAATGGAGTTCAGGATGTTCATGATCTCCATGTCTGGGAAATAACAGTGGGGAGAATCGTGTTGTCTTGCCATGTCTTGGCCATCCCGGGGGCCAGCCCTAGGGAGATCCTTTCCGACGTTAGAAACTACTGCAGAAAGGCTTACGGGATTCATCATGTGACGGTGCAAGTCGAATCAGCATAGCCAAAAAAAGATTCATCTGTGTAAATCTGAAAAGGTTTTAGATAGAACAATAAAATGGGTAGCGTTTTGAGACTACAAAAAATCGTTAAGGTCTCGAGAAATGGTGCGATTGTGATCGCAGTTTTCGTTACAACTGATTCAAATAAAGGGAGAGAGCGAAAAAGGGTATTCAGGAGACAAGACATGAAATCTTGTTTCTGATATAATGTGGACTAGGTAGAACAGCATCCTCTTCTGTTGGTTGCGTACGTGTCTGAAATGTTGATGGCAGTTCCTTGGCCAGGAACTGCCATGCTGCCGGCCGCTTCCTGAGCTGCCAAAGCTTTCTTGCTAACGATGTGATAAATCTCGGACAAAATGGACTGGAACGCCTTCTCGATGTTGCTTGCTTCCAAGGCAGAAGTCTCGAGGAAAGACAAACCTTCCTTCTCAGCCAGAGACCGGCCGTCCTCGTCAGAGATGGACCTGAGGTGGTTCAGATCGGATTTATTTCCGGCCATCATTATGACAATGTTGGAATCGGCATGGTCCCTGAGTTCGCGTAACCATCTCGGGACATTCTCGAAGGTCTGTCTCTTGGTTATGTCGTAGACGAGGAGAGCTCCGACCGCGCCTCTGTAGTAAGCGCTGGTTATTGCTCGGTAGCGTTCTTGCCCTGCCGTGTCCCAAATCTGGGCCTTCACTGTCTTGCCTTCCACCTAAAACCGACGGAACAAATCAAATCTCTTACAATATGGATAGAACGTTTCATCCATTCTGCGACATGAAGAGAATGAATTCACCTGCAGTGTCCTGGTGGCGAACTCGACTCCGATGGTTGATTTGGATTCGAGACAGAATTCGTTCCTGGTAAATCTCGAGAGAATGTTTGACTTTCCAACGCCCGAATCGCCGATCAACACGATCTTGAACAAGTAATCGTACTCGTTATCTATCCTATTCGCCATAAGTCTTCTTGTCCGATCAAACCTCTAGATCAACCTATTGCATACAGACATATACGTCAAAGTCTATCACATGATACCCATTTCGAAGATCAAAGAGCAGAAACGGAATCGAATTACCCTCTCGAGCAAGCAGATGGATCGAGATTCGAGAAAAGTTTTTCCTCCCACTACCGGTTTCTCCGTTTGCCTTCCCAAGACGTCTTCCAAATTTGGTGCTTGCGAGGTGAAAACGGACACAACGGCTCGACAATGCCAAATTTATAACGTCTTTGTTTAGTAAGAAAAGGAAAAAAGTGGCCGCAAAAAAAAAAAAACATTCAAATGGAACACCCATTGTAATAATATTGGAAAAACACATGGAAGAAGAAGAAGAAATCATTGAATTTTTTTTTTTAAAAAATTTGATACTGTGCCATTTATAAATAATGAAGCATTCATGATTCTCGTGTGTGTCGTTTGATTTGGTAATGGTTGTGATTAAAGACAAAAGTCTTGCGATGAAAGTAGTCTATATTGTTATTCAATACACTATTACACATAGATTAATATAATAATGAAAACGATAAACTCGAACAGGAACAGTATCGTGTGGGAACATAACGATCCGTCGCGACAATTCAACGAGCCGATTTGATTCGGTCCACAAGCGCCTTCAAGTAAGCGACGTGCTCGTCTTTGGGAGGGATGCATTCCTTCACGACATCCGTTTCCGACAACCTCTTCACCCACCTGTGGATCTCCGGGAACTTATCTTCCGCAAGAATATCGACTCCGATTCCGACAATGGCGTCGAACCTCATCAGCCAAAAGGGTATCAAGATCGCCGCTATATCTACCAATCCCAATGTTTTTCCTCCAAAAAAGTCTTTCCCTTTGAGTTCTTTCTCCAAATACTTCATCAACTCCCTCGCCTTCTCTATTGCAGCTTCTCTCGCTTCTTCGTCTTTCTCAATCGCGATCTCGATTCCTGTAGGCACAATCTAAGACGCATAGAGAGAAACCCATGATGTGATTTTACTTTTTACCAAGTTCATCTGAAGATTATGGCAGCGATTCGTTCTGGGTATGATGAAGAATTTACCTTTTCGTCGATGAATCTGGCCCAGAACCGAGCCATTGCTCTTTCGTACGGGTCTTGGGGAAGAATGGGATTGTGACTCCATGTTTGGTCGATGTATTCAAGAATGACAAGTGACTCTGCAATGGATTTACCGTTGTGGACGAGAACCGGAACTTTCTTGTGAACCGGATTCATCTGCAGAAGAAGGGGGCTCTTGTTGGTCAAGTCTTGCTCCAAGTACTCGTACGGAACGCCTTTGATTCTGAGGGCCATATCGATCCGACGGCTGAAAAGGCTCGCCCACATCCCCAGCAGCTTCACCTCCTCCGCCATTGGATCTGCTCTCTCCTCTGTTTTTCGCTGGCTGCTTATACTGGACTCTTATAGTAACCATTGAGGTTTGGTTGGGCTCAGTCAAAAACGATGGCTCAATTTGTACATGTCATGCATGACATCACTCATGATAATTTGGGCTAAGCCGAGTGGAAATGTCTTCGACTAACCCGCTGATTGAGCCCGAGACTCTGCCTAATGACGACAGAAAATCCTGCAGTCAAACGGCTGAACACTGACTTGGTAATCTGTCTTGTGGGTGAAGGCTTATTTTCGCTTGCGTAATCGATTGAATTGTCGGTTTTTCTTTATCAAAACGCCGTTACTGCACCAGTTCATTTCTTCGAAACGTTATTTAAAAAAAAACACAGATTCTTACGGACATTGACATCATGGAGCTCAAACAGAAGTATTCTAGTACACAGATTCCGGCCGTTAAGATCGACGATTTCTGAGTTTGATTCAGATCGAGACTTCGGCACGGTTCTCAGGCCGATTTGATCCTTTCCAAACGAGCCCTCAAGTACTGGACGTGTTTATCCTTGGGAGGAACGCATTCCTTCACGACAGGGATCTCCGACAACTTCTTCACCCATCTGTGAATCTCCGGGAACTTCTCCTCGGGAAGAACCTCGACTCCGACAAGATCGTCCGATCTCATCAGCCAAAATGCCACCAACGTTGCCACCATGTCCAAGTACCCAAAGCTTTCCCCCCCGAAAAAGTCTTTACCTTTCAGCTCCTTCTCCAAAAACTTCACCAAATCTCTCGTCGCCTCGACCGCGGCCTCTCTCTCCCGTCCTGTCTGCGCCACGATCTTGAGCCCCGTAAGCAAAACCTGCCACACAAGAAGCGACAAACATCATCATCTCAGTTTATTTCATCCGTGTATAGTGCCAGATCGTGATGTTAATGAGTTACGGATATGAATCTGTTACCTGTTCGTCGATGAATCTGGCCCAGAACCGAGCCATGGCTCTCTCGTACGGATCTTGAGGAAGAATCGGGTTGTGTTTCCATGTTTCATCGATGTAATCGAGGATCACGAGCGACTCGGCGATCGGTTTGCCGTTGTGGACGAAAACCGGGATCTTCTTGTGAACCGGGTTCAGCTGCAAGAGCAGTGGGCTCTTGTTTTCCAAGTCTTCTTCCAAGTATTTGTACGGAACACCTTTGAGCTTGAGGGCCATCTCTATCCGACAGCTAAAAGGGCTCGACCACAGCCCCAGTAGCTTCACTTCCTCTTCCTCCGCCATTAGACCCCCTCTCTCTTTCCTGTTCTTTGTTCGTCTGCGATACGGTTGCTTTGGCTGACTCATTTACATGTATGACACGATAGTATTGTTTATTCTCATCTGACGTCATGGATGACGTCAACAGTACCGACACATCTAGCGAGTTTTTTTTTTTTTTTTTTTTTATGTAATTTGATTTGTATTACTCCAAATTGGGGTACATAATACAAGATAAAAATCCACATAAAAAAACTTTCGCTAAGCAGCCTCGAAAGGAATACAACTATTACAGCAGAACTATATTTTATTTGTCTACGCCATGGCATACAGTAGAAGTGAGTACCACTTTTGAAGCAAATGTTGCTTTCACTTTCTCGAACCTGTTGCAGCGACATGAGGGTGGTTCTGACTGATTGATCGATACGTGAGCGCATGACATGGGAAGTTGCAAAGACATTTGAAAAGATGCGGGAATTCCGCTCCTTCCATACCTCGTAAACAGCGTGCTGTATGAGAATTTTTAGAAGAATGTTTCGCTTGAGACCATCAGACTGTGGGATTGCTTCCATCCAAGAGAGACACATTGAGAGGTTTGCTGGCGGGTTTCTCCAAATCTTCGATGCGAGTTCCTGCCATGTTTCAGCACTAAAACGACATTGAAAGAAGAGGTGGTCGTGTGATTCCTCTTCCTCATTACATAGGACACAAGTTGAATTCTGTATAATATTCCACCTGAGCAATCTATCGCGTGTTGGCATCCTACCCTACATCACCATCCAAAGGACAAATGAGTACCTTGGTATCGCTTGCTTAAACCATACCAACTTTGCCCAGTCCACTTGTGGTGATACTTATCGAAGTAGCTTCCATGTGCTTGATGCTAAGAACTTCTGAGTGTACACGTTTTCCGCTGATTTCCACTCATATATGTCTTCACCTGCAGCTTGACTTGGTGTTGGTAGTGTTAGAAGTCTTATGTGAAGGTCTTGGATCCTTTGAGATCGCGCACCTGGTAACAACCAGCTCTGTCCCGAGACAGCATCACTGACCTTTCCACTTAGAGGGATCCTTAGCAGCCTAGGGCCATCACTACCAATATAATCAAGCAAAGGTCCTAGGTCAGTCCAATTATCGAACCAGAAAGATGCCATGTTTCCATTACCAATTCTGCATCTGATAAACTTTCCGGCGAGGTCTTTCATATTCAATAGCTTCCTTACATTCCACGAATGTCGAGCAGTAGGCACAGTGTCCCAAAACGACCCTCTTTTCAACACATTCCTCTTTAGCCAAGCAACCCAAAGTGAACTCGCATACTTGAAAACCCTCCAAACCATTTTCAGTCTGAACACTTTGTTCAGCTCTTCAAGTTTCTTGCTGTTCAGTCCTCCTTCCTTCCGAGGCCTACAAATAATGTTCCATGCAACTCTCGCTGTTCCGGTACTTGTCTGAGATTTTTCCAAAGAAATTTGGAGCATATTGCATCGATTTGTCTAAGGAGAAATTTGGAGACGATGATTCTGAATAGGTTCATGATGTCTTCTTGTAAAAGAATCGATGCATTCGCGTGTTCGTTAGTTCGGATAAGTTCGTTTTATTCGGATTTGGTTATTTCTATTTAATCAAAACTATACTCATTCGTTTTTTATAAATTTTTTTCGTTTTCTATAATTAATCTTTCTTCTTCATACCAAATAAAATTAATGGTTACATAAATCACATTGTAGACACATTTATGATTTTTTTTATATATTACGAGATAAAACATATATTATGTGTTCTCTAGTTCTAATTTCATTATTATTATCTCGATAATTTCATGACCTTTTTGTATTATTCATATATATATATATGGTATCTTTGATGTGAATCAAGTAATAATTAAAAAAAAGATTATTATGTAAATCATATATTGAAAAGTAAGTACATTGTTTCGGTTATTTTAGTTATTAATTGAATCGAATCGAATAAAAATATTTTGATTATTAATTGAACTCAATCGAATAAAAGAATGATTATGATTTTTCAAAATCCAAAATATTTTTATAATATTTTTATTTTCATATCAAAATATAAATTTTAGATTTTATATTTTATAATTAATATAATTATGGTATATTTTATTTTATATTTTGTTTGAATATTTTTATTATAAATAAATTAGGGGGAAGTCCATTGCTCTCAACGTTTCTGCGATGAAAACCCACCGGATTGAGTCAAAGGCCTTTCTAATATCCAGCTTTAACATTGAATTTTTCCCCGATGATACTCTGCCATATTCTCGGACCAGTTCGGAAGCCAGAAGTATATTTTCTGTCATCAATCTTCCACTCTGAAAGGCGGATTGATTTGCAGATATACATTCTTGTAGGATTGGTTTTAGCCTACGCGCAAGGATTCTAGAGATCACCTTATAAACTGTATTACAACAGCTTATGGGACGGAAATCAGCGAGTTTGTCAGCCCCTTGCCTTTTCGGTACTAGAGTGATTGCCGTTGCATTAAATCCCCTGCATAGTCTACCCGTTCGACATTTGTTTACCTTCCTTGGAAACCTCTTTAACTCACTCTGGTTTTTCTTGAATAAAAATTCCAATAAGATATCCAAAGATCTGCAAAATAGATTCTAGAACGTTTCAGAAGATTCTCAAAATGTTCAGCCACAGATGTCCATGGAAGCATTGACCTGATCCATCTTCACCTTCTCCGGCAGCCCCGGATCTCCGGGAGAGTTTACGGATCGATCTCTCGCAGGCGTTGCCACATGTCGTTCTTGTCTTGTTGCCGAAGAAGCTCGGAATCAGCGACATTTCCCGGGAAATTCAAACGGGATCCATGCCAAATTCGGAGGGTTCACGCGGTTCTGTAATAATCGTTCTATTTCCGTGCTCCATTTCCAGATTTATCCGGAACTTGGGCTTTTCAAAGCCCAAACTAATACGAAGCAATGGTCTGAATGTAATTTCTAAAAATTAATAAAGATTAGACTGAGGCCCATGTAGAGACCCAATTAATCATAGTGGGCCCATGTTTTTACCACATATAAGTCAGTGATCCACGTCATCGAAAACGGATGCATTTCAACCGTCGATCAGATTCCAAATCGACGGCTTTTATTACTCTCAGTCATTTCACAAGGATCGCAGATTCGCAGCTCCGCGCCGTTTATATAAAGTTGGTTTTCGTTCTCCCCAAAACATTCATCGGTGAAGCAGCTCTCCAAAATTAAAAAATTTTCTCTACCAGTTGTTTGGATTCCGAGAAAATGTCGGGAAGAGGAAAGGGAGGAAAGGGATTGGGAAAGGGAGGAGCGAAGAGGCACAGGAAGGTCCTGAGAGATAACATCCAAGGAATCACGAAGCCCGCGATCCGGCGGCTGGCTCGTAGAGGAGGAGTGAAGCGTATCAGCGGTCTGATCTACGAAGAGACCAGAGGAGTGCTCAAGATCTTCCTTGAGAATGTTATCAGAGACGCCGTCACGTACACGGAGCACGCAAGGAGAAAGACAGTAACCGCCATGGATGTCGTCTATGCTTTGAAGAGACAAGGAAGAACTCTCTACGGTTTCGGTGGTTAGATCTGCTTCGTTAACGTTGTTGTTATCTGTGTTTGGTCCTTATCTGTAGATCTGGTTAGGTTGTGCGTACGAACTCCTTTGTATTCCATTGTTTTGGATCTTAATTCGATAGGGATTTGGTTCCAGTTACAATCTCTCTCTCTCTCTCTCTCTCTCGTTTGATTGAGAAAATGTCGCGAATTAGAGCCATTTCGTCACATGACGAGGGTTTAATCAAATTTTTTAGGTCGCGAATCGTAGTGTGATCAGGATTGATCTGGTTTCGTGTTCTGCATGCGTGAAATAGCGAGAAGGGCAGTTTAAACTCGTTTCATTTTTTTCTACCAATCTTCCGACCACACACCAACTAGAGTGTACTTAGAGCAAGACTTGACGAAGAGTTCTCTGCTTCTTAATCTGAATCCAAATTCGAATCCGAATCAATGAAGGAAATATCTGTAAGGAAACGAGGATTCCACGGTTTTATGGGTTTGAATCTATAATGCTTAACCATGTAAAAAGCACTTCGATGATTAATCAGGTGATTTTTTTTTTGAGTAACCTGTTACGTTTTCTGTGACTTTTCAATATTGAAACAAGCAAGTCCAGAGAATTCTCTCAACGGTGACGTCACCAATGACATTGAAGCCTACTTGCTTGACCCGAAAACAAGACCTCGGCTTGTTTAAACACCACAAGCCATAACCGTAGAAGCAAGAACATAGAGGGGGGAGAGAGAGAGAGTCCCAATGGGGGAGAAAGAGGAAGTGAAGCTGCTGGGGATGTGGGCGAGCCCTTACAGCCGTCGGATTGAGATGGCTCTCAAACTCAAAGGTGTCCCGTACGAATACTCAGAGCAAGATATATTCGACAAGAGCCCTCTGCTTCTTCAGCTGAATCCTGTTCACAAGAAGGTTCCTGTCCTCATCCACAATGGCCAAACTATGGTGGAGTCCCTTGTGATTCTTGAATACATTGATGAAACATGGAAACTCAATCCCATTCTGCCTCAAGATCCCTACGGGCGAGCCATGGCTCGATTTTGGGCCAAGTTCGTCGATGAACAGGTAATATAATCTCAATATATATATATATCATGGTGTGATGCATATGATAACCTCTCAATCTTATTTGTCTCTATCTTGCAGATCTTGACTGTGGGTGGTAAATCCTTTGTGAAAGCAGAGAAAGGAAGAGAAGCAGCAATAGAAGACACCCAACAACTGTTAAAGTGTCTTGAGAAAGAGCTAGTAGGAAAAGATTTCTTCGGGGGCAAGAATGTCGGATTCTTGGACATTGTGGCTTCGACCATGGTGCCCTTTTGTCTGACTAGATTGTGGGAAGCATTCGAAGCCGATGTGATTCCTGAAGAGTTGTTTCCAGAAATTCACAGATGGACCAGAAACTTATACGAGATCGATTTCATAAGGGACTGCATTCCTCCTAAAGAGAAACACCTCCACCATGTGAAGGCTGCTTCAGAGAGATTCAAATCGGCCTAAGACAGGATTTCATGGTCCAAGACCTATCATGTTTTTCTGTTTTCAGTAGCTTGTTTGTGTCTCCGTCTTTCTAAAATGACGTTCAAGAATAAAGTTATTGAAGATGTGTTGCATGCTTTGACATGAAAAAAAGGTTGTCTCTTGTGTTCTGTAATCATCTGTTTGGCAAACAGTAAACAGCCCTCGATGTTTTTATTCATGAAGTCAAAAATAGTTTGTAAAGATACAAAACAAAATGGCATGACTCTCTCTCTCACTCAACGACATGGACTGGACCGGACCTCAGACAGCTTTATTTGTATCTCTCAGCGTATTCCATCATATGTTCAATATGCTTCTCTCTCGGCGGGAGACATTCCTTCACGGCCTCGACCTCAAGCAGATTGTTCATCCATCTATGGAATTCTGGGAACTTCTCCTTTGGAATCACATCAACTCCCATACCTTCCCACAACATCATCAGAGACATTGGGATCATGGATCCGGCTACAAGGTCCAAGAACCCGACCCTCTCGCCTCCGAAGAAGTCTTTTCCGACCAATTCCTTCTCGAGAAGCTTCATCAGCTGCTGGGTTTCTTCAATGGCTGCTTCTCTGCCCTTCTCTGCTTTCACCACGGATTTAAGCCCCGCGGATACGATCTACACAAGAGAGAGAACAGCTGTAGTGAGTGGGAAAATACAATAAAAAAGACAGTGAATTCACCGGTGTTTTCAACTCGAGTAACGGACCATATCAGATGAATTCAAGCACCAGAAACTAGTGACTAACATCTGTCCAAACTCAGCATCCCAAAGCCTGAATAGCTTCTCATATGTAAATATGTACCCATTCAAAGCGATTGATCAACCTGGCAGTGCTGAAAGTCACTGCCTTTTTACATTTTTCTTTTCATTTACTCTGCAAGTTTTTAACTTTGGATCTGATGAATCATCTTAATCCAAATTCCATGGAACTCACATAACAGTTTCCAGAACTATGCGGACCGGCTGATTCCATCAAGACCCAAGTGATTGGTGATCGACATATCCAGAAGTTAAGAAAGAGTACCTTCTCGTCGACGAACTTGGCCCAGAATCGAGCCATGGCTCTGTCGTAGGGATCTCGAGGGAGGATCGGATACTGAGTCCAAGTCTCGTCGATGTACTCGAGGATCACGAGCGACTCGGCGATGGGTCGACCGTTGTGGACGAAGACGGGAACCTGCTTGTGAACAGGATTCATTTGCAGAAGCAGAGGGCTCTTGTTTCTCAAATCTTGTTCCAAGTAATCGTACGGAACTCCTTTGAGTTTGAGAGCGATCTCGACCCGATGTCCGAACGGGAGCGCCCACAAACTCAGCAGCTTCACTTCTTCCTTCTCCGCCATTTGATCTCTCTCTCTCTCTCTCTCAATATTTTGTTTTCTTAATTCTGTAAGGGTTTGTAACGTTTGGTGGTTTACTTATATAAAATTTCTTTCGGAGTCACATTCCGACATTATAGCCCGTCTAGATAAACATAGACGTCATGGGCTACGTCATCATTGGTGGATAATGAATGTTTTTTTTTTCTTGTAACACTGTAATGATCTAGAAGGCGAAAAGCAGTCAAACGTGTGAAAGGTCTCATGAGTAAACAGTGAAGTCGTTGAATTTATTTTTCCTCACGTTGCATCGATCGAATATAAATTTTTAGATTAGTCAAAAGCACGACGGACGGTTCTCCATTTTAGTCAAAGCTTTGCAGCAAATTTCCCCAAAAACATATAAAAAAATTAATGAAGGGTGTTCAAGAAACATCAGCGCCTACGCCGCCTAGAGCCGGTGAGGAACCCGACAGGGAAACGTGAAGGAGGCGGCCATAGGAAGCCTAAAGCACATTTGAAAATTATTATTTGAGTTCTTGCGTTTTCATATCATCATTTGGATTTTGATTCTAGAATATCCAGACATGTTTTCAAATATAGTTTTTTATAATTAATAAGTTTATTGAACTTCCGATCTCCTACGATTCACGTACCATAATTAGATTGAGGGGCCGACTGGTTGCACCGCCGCCACCCGCAAACGGAGCGGTTGCGATTTCTGGCGGTGCGGGCGATTGAAAAACTGACTGGTTGAACCGCAACCAACCGCAACCGCAACCAAACTTGTGTTTTCTAATCGCAGCTTCCAACTTGCGTTTTGGTAACGGTTTCCGGCGTTTTGATAAAAAAACTAAAATATTTTTATTAGAAATTATATAAAACATTAATATATATATATTGGTGATGATTTTGTTTAGTGTTATGATTTGATATTATTTTTTAGTATTATATTTTAATAGAAAAATTTAATTAAAACTATTATAAAAAATTATTTTTAAATAATATTTTTTTTGACAATTTATATCAAAACGCAACCGCAACCGTAACGAATCATTCACTTCTAACTGCACCCACCCACAATCGCTACTAATAGCAACTTCTCAACCAGTCAATACTAATCATTTATAATCGCTATCAAACGTTTTGAAAACGCTGTCACCCGCAACCGCAACCGCTGCGGTACAACCAGTCGAACCCTGAACAATTCCTCTCCAAATCTAAAATCGAATCTTGCACACAGAAAAGTGGCCTCCGATATTATTCCTAGAATATTATTATTAATATAGTTATAATTTATTATTAGATATTATACCTAAAAATATTTTATTGAATTTTGCTATATATTAGAATGTAATCTTTTACTTATCAATAATAGAAAAACGTAATAAATTTGAAAATCTTAACATAACCAACCAATATTTACATGTGTTAGCTATGTAAAAATACCATTCCACCCGCTGATTATGTATAAGAAGCGCACCATCATTACTTACAGAGTTCCCATGCAACTCAATGCGAAGTATACCAAGAATCCCAATGGTAGAGTTGACGACCGATCAAGTTTCAAGAGTGTAGAGAGATGGATCCGAGAGGAGAGCAGAAAATCGGACTGTTGGGTCATAATTTGTTGCAGAACATATTTACTTAGATACATGTCTCTGTTGTCACACAGACATTGGAACGGAGACCGACACACATCTCAGACACTGAATTTCCCCGGAAACCCTAAACCCAGACCAGAACAAGAACAAGAACAAGCATCAGAATCAGAATCTGAAACAATACACACACACATAGAGATATATAGTGTAGAAGAATCGAGCAGCGTATCGACCAAATCAGGCGCTTAGCCAGAGATTTGAATGGATTTGACGTCGGGGTTCTTCGTCTCAACCTTAGGAACCGTCACAGTCAGCACGCCGTTCTCCATTGAAGCCCGGACCTGGTCCATCTTCACGTTCTCCGGCAGCCTGAATCTCCGGGAGAATTTTCCGCTCGATCTCTCCACGCGGTGCCACGTGTCGCTCTTGTCCTCCTCCACGTGTCGCTCTCCGCTTATCTTGAGGACACTGTCGTCTTCTATCTCCACCTTCACCTCTTCCTTCTTCATCCCGGGAAGGTCCGCTTTGAACACGTGCGCCTCCGCCGTCTCCCTCCAGTCCACTCGCGCGCTCGCTATCGCCGAGTTTTCTCGGGAAAGGGACGACGACGGGAACGGAAAATCCTTCAACGGATCCCACATATCCAGAGAGAAAGGGTCGAAGATTCTGCTGCTTCTGTTACCGAAGAAGCTCGGGATCAGCGACATTTTCGATGTATTTCCTGGCTAATTCGAACAGGGAACGCTGTTTGGTTGCTGAGAAAACTGCTTCAGACTGCAAATCCTACGAGTTTTTCCTGGAATTCTGAGAATTAGCGAAGAATCGGAGCATGAGTTTATAGGATGGGGAAGAGAATTCCAGAGCTTCTCGAACTTTACACTCTGCAACTGTATCGAACATGATAAATCTAGAAACCCCAAGAACAAAGTGATCAGGTGGATCCAGATATTTCTAGGGGCATTTCGGGGTTTTCTATTTGGGTGTAAGGCCCATTGGGCTTGAAATATGCCAATTATATGCTCGTAATATTATCATTATTGGCCCAGCCCAGTTACATCGTCCGATCAATCAATAGTCTAATCAAACGGTCACCATTGCTTCCCAAGTGGGGTCCACGCTGCGGAAATTCCTGAGACCACGACGGATTCTGGACCGTACGATTTCCCTTTTGTGTCTTTCCTTTTACCTGAATCCGTCGGTCGAAAATTGCGTCTCTGTCAATATAATATTTGAGAAACGAATTAAAGAGGGGGGAAGAAAAAAACAAAAATAAAAAATGAACTACCTCACGAAACACTCGGTGACCACACTGTCTCCAACAACTCTCTCTGCACTCTCTCTCTATCTAGAAATAGGAAGCTCGCACCCTCTCTCTCTAGCTTCATTGTTGTACGGTCAACTTCGTCGGCGCGATTCTCTCGCTCTCGGATTCTCCGAGGTTAGAGATCTGTTCTCCGAGTAATTATTCCGCTGATCTAGTTTTTGCTGTTACTCAGTCGCTTCTCCCGATTCTGGGTTTCCCGCATGAGGTACGTGTCGGTTTGGGGGGCTTTTGGTTCTCTGGGACGCTGTCATTTTCTGTTTGTTTCCCGAGAAAATGTTCATCTGCCTAGAAATCATGTGTTTCACTTTCTAATTTCTGGGTATTGTTCCATTTGGCTAAGGTTTCACTGGAAGCTAATCGATCTTCTGCGTCTGCTAATTTCACTGTTTTGATTTGATTTTTGCCGAGTTAATTGAAAAATTCGGAGGGAAAAGGGGAGGAAACAGGCGGAAAGTGGTTGCTTTCTGGTCTCTCATAATTACGTTTGCCTTTTCGTTGACATTCTTACTAGTGATTCATGCCCGATCTTACGGACTGTAAAGTTCAGAAATCTGGTTTTATCTGAGTCTCTGGGCATTACGTTTCTTCCCCTTGCTAGATTGTGGAGATTTTACCTTGTTCTCCATTATTTCTACTGAACCAGAAGCCGAGAGTTGCATACTGTGTAATATGTGTGCAGAAGAATAATCTGTCCATGTTCTAACCTGTGTATAATTCTGTGTATCTCCAGAAAATCCTCCAGATGGGATCAAGGGCCGTGCATAAGAATGCTGGGTTGAAGAATTAGTCTGAATCAGGATTTATTGTCTCATACTTGAAATGCTGCCAATGGAATGCGGTGTGGAGGTGAAGAAGGGCCCGAGTGTTCGCCCGCCTTTTGTCGCCTCTGAGAAGAAGGTAATGATTCGGGAGACCCAAAAGACAAGTCCACAAGAAAAGTTACAGGGTGATAGACGTGGATTATCATACTCTGATTTTCATCGTGAGGTTACAAAAAATGTTGAAGACGTCTATCCTAAACGTTTGGAGAACCGGCTAAAGCCACGGATAGGTAGAACTGCATCAGGAGAAAGAGAAATTGTCAAGTACAAGTCTTATGTGCCAAACTATATAAAGAAAGGTGAAAAGCTCCTAGAGAAGGATGTAAAAAGTGGTAGCATCGGTTTACTGGATGTGAACAAGAACACCGGCTCCTCAGTGTCCAGTACATCATCGTCATTGTGGACTGATGAATCATCTAATGATTCCAGCAGGGGTATGTCTGTTTCTTCTTCTCATAAAAGGATGAATAACCCCCCACTGCAGTTCTATCTGATGTCATCTAAGCCAGGGAATTGTCCTCAAGTTTCTAGACCATCTGAAGAGGCTAATGAAACTTTGGAAACAGACAGTGCTTTGAAAGAAAACACCACGAAAGAATGTGGGGCTTCCATTGGAGGAGATGGATGTTTTCAGCAAAGCCCATCTGGTGCTGTGTTGCAACAGCATGAAAAGGAAAAATCTGATTATAAGACTGTTCCAACAAGTGGAACTTTCTCAAATTTGTCAAAGCCAAATATTCCTCCATGCACAAGAGTAATACCGAAGACTCAAGCTGATGATCCTAAGAAAAAAGGGGAGAAGTTGGATGACAGAATTCGAAATTCTCGTGTTCATGATCTATTTGGCAAAGAAAAGACAGCCCCGGTATTTGTACCAGGAATTGTTCCCCAGAAACAATTTATTGGGTTGTCAAAGTTCTATGATACAAAAGTGTTTTTGGCTGAGAGAGTGGCAGAAACAGATCGAAAAGGTGTTCCTGGTAGGTCGGTGTACAGGCAAGGTGGAGTCTTGGATTCTGGTGCGTCTCTTTCTTGTCCTTCCCCACGCGAAGCTGATAATAACAAGCCATTTCTAAAGCGTATCAGCTTCATGAGTTTGGAGAAAAACAAATTTTCATCAGAAAGATCTCGTTCAGCTCCACGTTCTACAAAGGCTGAATCCAGTCCTACTAGGGGCAGAACTCTTGACAGAAGGTCTGCAGTAACGCCATCTAAACAGTCAGATCAGGGGTCAGCTAAAGTTCTGTCGGAGAGGGCAAGGAGCATTTCACCGTTTCGCCGACTCAGTTTCAGCATTGGAAAGTCCATCAAAGGCTCCGATCCTAAAGATGCTCATACTCCTCCACATTCATGCACAACGAATATTTCTTCACGGCCCAGTTCAGAAGATCCATCTTGCTCTTCTTTCTCAGGCAGCTCCTCTTTTGATAAAACTAGTTCAACAAGAAGAGGCAGGTCTAGTCCATTGAGAAGATTACTAGACCCGCTGATAAAACCAAAAACGAGCAACTCTTGCAAGTCTCCTGAGCCATCACAAAGGGCTGCTTACCAGAAGCATATTTTCTCTGACAGTCAACCATCTTCTTCAACTTTTCTGTCAAGAAACGGAAAACTGTCAACTGTCCAGGCACTTTTCCGTGTGACATCTAAGAACGACCAGCCACTCTTCACGTTTGCAGTTGACAAGGAACAAAATATAACAGCAGCCACTATAAGAAAACAGAATTCCTTGGAAAAAGATGGCTCTGGCTACAAATACACGTTCTTTGCAGTTCAGGAGGTTAAGAAGAAGAGTGGAAAGTGGATTAACCATGGTAGCAAATGCCAAAGCCAAGAGTACACATCCAATATTGTTGCTCAGATGAGAGCCTCGGGATCTCAATCCTCCATTCCCACGGGAGGGGATTGCTTTGATCAGTTCATGACCCGAGAATTTGTCCTCTTTTCATCTGAATCTCAGCGGACAAACGAGCTAGCTGCCATTGTCGTCAAGATCCCAACAGCTGTTGATAGGAATTCGTCCAATGACCTTTGCCAAGACCAGACACTCGGCGAAACACAGAGAAGCACGACTGTAATACTTCCAAGTGGAATTCATAGTCTTCCACACAGAGGAGGGCCTTCATCACTGATCCAACGGTGGAAATCTGGTGGAGCATGCGACTGTGGAGGCTGGGACATGGGCTGCAACCTTAGAATCCTCACCAGTCAGAATCAACCCAGCAAACCCTCTTGCTCGTCGGAGCCTCCCTCTACTTCAGATGGGTTCAAGCTTTTCTTTCAGGTACATATCTTATCTTCAATACGATTCCTGAATGTGTTTTTAAACTGAATTCGGAAACTCATATTCTGAATTTTTACAGGGAGGAGTATCAGATAATCGGCCATTCTTGCGTTTTACGACATACAAGGATGGGGTATACGCAGTTGAGTACAACTCATCGCTCTCGCTCTTGCAAGCATTTTCGATATGTATAGCGGTTAATGATGGCCGGAACTTCTCGGGGACCTTAGAACCAAACAGTTCGCAGAAAGAGAAGAGTTCGAGTGAGACACCGCCGATCCTGAACGAGAGGTTGAAGTCATTTTCCGGCCATCTCGATGGCGATTCTCCGGCGAGGTATTTGTCATTCCGGCCCCTGTCGCCGGTTGGGCGGGTTTAGATTCTTCAAATATATATATGTCATGAATTATTTTTCTTGTTCTTTTTGTGCCTCCTTTATTGTGGTCTCTGTAATTAAGGTGCCCGTGCAGATTACGTGAAGAAGAAAAAAAATTGATGGACAAGAAATGTTTGAAACTGTTTTAATGGAAATATCTACATTTAATATGAATAAGCTAATAAAACTTATCATGATCTGTTTGAGGCTGTCGTACATGTCATCAAATCATGGGATGAGTGTGTTTATGTTTTACGCGATAGGCTTATTATATAATTCATGGCATGCTTTTGTATTCTAATATGTAAAATCATCAAAATGTTTGTTACGAAATATAGTTTGTTGGGTCAATACTGGTTCATACTATTCCATTTAGTGAACGGATTAAGATAGAAAATCAAACGATAACTTCGGTAAGGTGAGGATGATGCGTCATAAGTCAGAGGAAAAACTCAACGGCGTGACAAACGCGCCGTTAAGCAAGATTAGCATTATTCAAGAATTCAACCTTAATGAGCCTCTAACAGTTAACGGGAACTCTGTAGCAGATGAGCATTGCTGATTCATATTTCTTGCTCATGCACTACATATGTATGAAAGCAAGATTCCGACAACTCTGACGTCATCCACGTGACCGAAATCGAACAGGCATTGCAGATAGAATCATAGGATGCAGTTAGGGTTCTTGTTTTTTGTAACTCTTCCGTGTAATATTCAATTGATGATAACATATACATATCGTTATTTGGAGAGGGACCCTTTGGCTTCGGGCGACGAGTTCCTATTCTCCTGTTTCAGAAATTCCTTATTTCATCTCGTAAAAATCACGGGGTTCTGATAGAAAACAAATTTCTCTAACAATAATGAGGCAAATTTCTTGACAAGAAACCAAGAATATAGCTCGAAAGGATTCAAGGGAAAAAAGAAACAGAACACAAACTTCTGTTTCTCCATGCGTTTTCCAGGCACGGTGGATTGCCTTACATCGGAGGCTTGCCGGCACTTAGAAGCTGGCCAATCATTCCATTTACCTGCAAGAAATTTTTTCAATCAGTGACTCGAAGAGTGGATGATATGGTGGTGAACAAATACGAGAAGGCCTACAAATCAGCTACCTGCCAGTACTTTGAAACACAACGATCGATGCAACTGTTCTCGCCCATGTTCAGCTCAGATTCCTTGTACCTGAGGATTGGGAGATTCAAGAAAGACTTAGACTGATGTAGGTCATCTTACAAACCTATCCAGACAGACAAATTTCCTGGAGATAAAAAAGACTCTTTAAACTGATGAAGCTGAATCTCTTACCTTTTGTCCACGCATTTGTTGAAGCATGTTTGGGCAAGTCTGCATTAAAAAAACAAGGGTAATCAGGTTCTCTCGATCTTACAAGACCGTACAAACAAGTTTTTGAAACATCAATGTGTCAACAGCAACAGGTTCTTGAAAATGAGCGATGCAAATGACAGAATCGGATGCATTCTGCTTCTGTCAATATGACAAGAGGATCGAAGTTTCATCTTTTCAAAACAGGGGATTACTGTGTCAGCATTATCGATCCGAGAATTTCTCATTGATATATATTGGAATGGTTTTAAGATGGTAGCAACGGGAAGCTGAAACCACTTTATAAACATCAATTCTATCGTGCAACATGCACAGCAATCACGGCAGACAATTCCGTACCATTCAGTATGAAAGAAGTAGAGCATAATGATCATTGCACAACAGCAGCAAACACACAGATCTGTACCTGTTAAAGAGTTCCACCCGATATTCCATCTCCGTTTGCGCCATACCAAAGGCCTAAACCAATCAAAATAAAACAGAGACAACACACTGATAAGAAACTCCTCAAAGTGGAACATAACATACGGGCTGGAAAACTCAAACGGTCTAATCAGGGCATCAAAATGGATACTACAGCTTGAAATTGATAATGTTTAGCCATGGCAGTACAGAAACTGAAATCATCTCCCACAACTGAGACGGCTTATACTTAAATCGTTCCCAAGGCCAATCTAGAGCAAACAGGGACAAGATATGTCCGAATAAAGTTAGAGCAAGACAACAATGAACCTGATCTTTATCGATTCCAGCAGGAATGGGATTCGCAGCCATTGCGGAACCTGAAACAAATCTCAGATTCTTAGATTGAAGCTCGCTGATTCAAGAAAACGAAAATCCAGAAAATATTTGGAAAAAAACGGATTACTTTCTCAGATGGGTTCCTCTGAATCCTCTTGATATATCCCGCGAGAGGAGCACAAGCAAATTAGGGTTTAAGAGGGGGGAGAGAGAACTGCGGCAAAACTTTAAGATTGCCACGCGATCACACTAAGGGCAATTTCGTAATTTAAATAAGACCAAAGGCTGTTTTACGTCTAAAACGACTGCGTCACCGGAATTTCTAGGGTTTTTGCTTATACAGGTATTCGACTGTTTGTTTTCCCCTCTCTAGTTTCTCATTAAGCCCTGATTCAGATCAAAGTATAGGGCTTTCCGAAGATTTCGCTTAAAGGTTGAGGCTTTATGGAGCATATTCTTACAAACAATCGAACTTTCGTAGAAATCTTAGTTCATGTCATGAGTGTTTTTTTTTTGGGTTCCTTCGAATGTTTTAGATATATTTTGAATTGGGCTGCAGAGTAATTGGCACGAGAAGCAAAAAATGGAGCACGGCTCGTTCACTGATCACAGTCATGCGACGTTTTCTCTCACCGAGGAAGATCACACGCTGGCTAACGCCGTCAGATTCGTGTTGAACCAGGAGTAAGTACTGTGTCTCTTTTTCAGGGTCAGTTCTCATGTAGTTATACGCGTATATGCTCATATATCTAACAGCGTATAGGCATATTATATCTCCATGGACGAAGGATTCATCCTTATTCCTGCAAATATTGAGCTTATGGCTCTTTCACCATGGGAAGGCTTGATTGAACTCTTTGCCTGTGTTTGCCATAGTTTAGCACTTTGTTAAACAGATTTAAAGATCGTATTGTGTGCTACTTTGTCTTTCAGCTGAGATTCTTGCTATATGTGAGAGAATCCAGAAAGTTATCTCCTTTGCTATAGAACAGGCTGATTTCGAGGTTCCAATGTAAACCTTACCAATCAGTATATATGCAGTTCTCCCCTTTGCTGAGCCGATTCTTGATGTCGATAAGTTTGCTATTGTCTAGCTGGATTCCGAAAGCTCCTTTGTTAATTATCACTTTCCGCGGTTTAAGATTCTTATGAAAGATGGATTTTGCTATTATTGAACTGGATTTCGGAATCTTCATTGTTATAGTATCTCCTCTATGGTTTGAGATTCTTGCTAAAAGGCGGAACTTTCCGTTGGATGCAACATTGTGCTGTCTTCTTTGTCACGGCCATATCCTCGATCGGGTTACTTGCTTTCTGTTTGTCTTAATGGCATTGCGGCTGAATGTGACAATGTCACTAACCCTTTTGTGGCTTAAATTTACAGTCCAAGAGTGACCTTCTGTGGTTACAGCATCCCTCACCCATCCCATGCTAGGGTCAATATCCGTGTCCAGACAACAGGTAACTCCTGGAAATTTTTTCAATCAAGTGACAAGACTGGCCTTTTTCTTGTGTTCTGCCGGTATATATATTGATGTCTCGAGAAGTTCTAACCATGAATGTCTCTCGGGATGGACAATGAATGTTTAGGTGACCCAGCGAGGGAGGTTTTGAAGGATGCCTGCCAGGACCTCATGCTCATGAACAGACATGTGAGGGGCGTTTTTGATAATGCTGTTGCAGATTTCAAGAAGGGCAACCAGACTGAGTCCATGGACGTTGGACCTGTGGCAGGCAAATAATTTCTAAGGAAAAATAGCATACTCTCATCCATGAATAGATCAAATTATGTAACTTTCAAGAGTTGTTTTGGCAAAATAGATGTCTTTTGAAGAAACCAATAACATCCCTACGCAGAGTTCATAAACTATCTAAGTACTAATCCAGCAACTGGGAGTTGAGGTTTAAGCAATAGACGATCAATCTAGTACTTCTGCAATACCATCTTATTTTCCACTTCTCTAGTAACCCTCTTCCTGCTCGTAATCAGCCTCGTCTTCGTATTCTCCTTCCTCTTCGGCTGTGGCATCTTGGTACTGCTGATACTCCGATACCAGATCGTTCATGTTGCTCTCGGCCTCTGTGAACTCCATCTCGTCCATGCCTTCGCCCGTGTACCAGTGCAAGAAAGCCTTCCTTCTGAACATAGCGGTGAATTGCTCGCTCACACGCCTGAACATCTCTTGAATTGAGGTAGAGTTGCCGATGAACGTTGATGCCATTTTCAGGCCAGTCGGGGCAATGTCACAGACAGTTGACTTCACGTTGTTTGGGATCCATTCCACGAAGTAGGATGAGTTCTTGTTCTGTACGTTTAGCATCTGTTCGTCTACTTCTTTGGTGCTCATCTTACCACGGAACATAGCAGAGGCAGTGAGATAGCGTCCATGTCGTGGGTCAGCAGCACACATCATGTTCTTGGAATCCCACATTTGCTGGGTGAGTTCTGGGACTGTGAGAGCACGATACTGCTGAGACCCACGAGAGGTGAGAGGGGCAAAACCCACCATGAAGAAGTGAAGGCGGGGAAACGGGATAAGGTTCACCGCCAGTTTGCGGAGATCAGAGTTGAGCTGACCAGGGAACCTAAGGCAGCATGTGACACCAGACATGGTTGCAGAGATCAAGTGGTTCAAATCACCAACTGCATAAATCATGGGAGATTTTACAAGTGAGTAAATCCGAAAACAATGATATGAAACAATTTGAACCATCAAACATATACAAAACATAACTCGACTCTAATGACATAAGGAACATAGATTGAACAAACCTCAAATGGTAAAAAAGCTCGCAACTAGATACCATATTTTGTAACAATTTATGTACACCAAATTGAGACCTCCAAATTTTCATGAAATCAAGATTATTGGTGGATTCATGCAACAAAATTTATCAATACAGAATCCAGACTCCTATTAAAAACCAGATGCTTCCACAATATGACAGACATATATAGCAATATAAGAGATGAGAAAGAACACTTACAACTAGGAGTAGTAAGCTTGAGGGTACGGAAGCAAATGTCATACAAGGCCTCGTTGTCAAGGACCATGCATTCATCTGCGTTTTCAACGAGCTGATGAACAGACAAAGTTGCGTTGTACGGTTCCACAACAGTATCAGACACCTTAGGGGACGGGAAGACAGAGAAGGTCAACATCATGCGATCAGGGTACTCTTCCCTGATCTTGGAGATCAACAGTGTCCCCATACCAGAACCAGTTCCTCCTCCCAAGGAATGGCAAACCTGAAAACCTGAAATCCGACCAACAGTTCAATCAGAAATCAAGAAAGACCTTACGGATAGATTTCTGATCAAACGTCAAAACCCTAATCTGACGACAAAACCCTAAATCCTCAATTCAGTAATCCAGAATTTGTACAGGCACGTACAAGCAAACACAATTGTAGCCCGAAACACTAATATACAAATCGAACATCGACATTCTGACAAGCTAAACTTAATAAGTGAAACCTATACAGAAACGAGCTAAATCACACAAATCGAAACATAAAACGCTTTCTGGGGTGATGAAGAAACATCACCTTGAAGGCAGTCGCAATTTTCCGCTTCTTTACGGACAACATCAAGGACGGAGTCAATGAGCTCAGCACCCTCTGTGTAGTGTCCTTTGGCCCAGTTGTTTCCAGCACCGGACTGGCCAAAGACAAAGTTGTCGGGACGGAAGATCTGACCGTATGGACCAGATCTAACACTGTCCATTGTTCCAGGCTCCAAGTCCATGAGAATGGCGCGTGGGACAAGCCGTCCGCAACTCGCCTCATTGTAGTAGACGTTGACCCTCTCGAGTTGCAGATCCGAATCGCCATGGTAACGACCCGTTGGATCAATGCCATGCTCGGCGCAAACCACCTCCCAGAACTTGGAACCGATCTGGTTGCCGCACTGTCCTCCCTGGATGTGAAGAATCTCACGCATCTTTGCTCACAGAGAAAACCCTAGAAATGAATATGAACAAAGAGAGAGATTTGAAAGTGAGGACCAGAAGAGTGTCTAGGAGATAATAAGAGGAGGAGATTTATAGGGGCAAGACGTTTTAACGGCTGATATTTGGTGATGCCATCGGTGTACAGTAAATCAACAGTCCAGATAGTGCCACGTAACGGAATGGCCGCGGGTTGGCGAATTCAAAATAAAAAAAGAAAAAGCTCGTCGAGGAAATTCGAAATTTTTCGAATTTCGAAATCTGTTGTGTGCTGCACGCACGTGAACGCAATACAGAAGCACTGCCATGCTGGCGAGGTCACGTGACACTTAACTTTTATGGGCCTTCCGGCCCATATAATGGTTCAAGAACAAATTCACGGTTATTGTAATTAAAATTTAAACTTAAGATAAGGGTTAAAAAAATGCATTTGGAGATTTTCGCCGGTTGGCATCCTACTTTTATTTTGTCGTATTCTTATGCGGTGACATGTTTTTTTCCTCTTCTCTTGGACGTGTAATTCGGGGCACGTAAGACGTGGGCGTTAGGGCAGTTATTTATGGACCGTCTTAATGTGGGACGACGACTTGCTGCTAGTGATCCATGTTAGACGTTTTTTGCTTTTGATTTCTTGAATTTTGAAAATGAATTACAGGGTACGTTGAAAATGAAAATGACACTTTTAAGCGTGCATCTTTGAGTGGTTATACACCATTGACACAAACACAATCGAAAGGACATTACAATAGGTCTTTATGTAGCCCTAGAATTTCTCAATAAAATCAACAATACCTAATGATGACATCAATAGTAGCTAAATCCAACCTAATTATCGTCACATCAATGTTTCGGTATATTCTATATTTGGATTTTATTTAAAATTTTCTATAACCTTTCATTTTTTCAATTCAATTCATCGAGTGAGTTTTAGATTGTATTAGTTTCCACTTGTTTCAAAAAATATTATTTAATCGATTTATATAGTATGTCTTGATTGAAAACAATTATACTGTTAATTTGTGCCATTCGGTTTTGCGTGACTGTCCAATTACCCAACTTTCAAATCTTATCTACAAGTGTGACCAAAGTAAGGTGTCGATTTGGAACCGAGGCTGGAAGGCCGGTCTGCCCCAGTTCGAAAATTAACGGATTTCGGTTCTAAATTTTTTATTCGAAAAAAAATTGGATTTTCAGACCGAATTCGAATTGGGTTTTGGATTCAAGTCGGGCCAACTTGAAAACCCGATATTTAGGAAAAAAAATGAAAAAAAAAATATACCAAAGGATTAATGCGGGTCGGTCCGGTCTGACTCGAACCCGAACCCGGTATATATAGAGCAGAATTTCGGGTTTAATTATATAAGCCTAAAAAAAATCGGGTCGAGTACGGGCTCGGGTCGAGTTGTGTTGGGCCGATTGACACCCATAGCCCAACGATTGGGATTTTGTCATTGGAATCAAAACAAGATTATACTACGAGACGTTGGAAGATTCCATATTTATTCGTCGCGTGCAAGAACCGTTTACACAAGTAATATGGCCAGACGATATAATTCTAAACAAAATATATGTTACAGAGATATTATATTACTAAACACGTAACGTGTTTAACTTCCAGCACCGGAGGAGATGATTAACGAAAAGATCGACACAATAAAACCATTGGCGTGACCAACGAGAATCTACGCAGAGAAACACAAAGAATCCAAACACTACAGAGACATAAGTTGCAGAAAAACTCCAGTAGAACCACTCCATGTCTATGATGACGTCACCTTCATCGTCATCTTCATAGTTTTCATCCTCTTCTCTCTCTGATTCTTGCACCCCGAGAGGGACACAGCTCTTGTTCTTCGGTGGCCCGCAAAGATCTTCGTTGCCGATGTAACTTTGTTCGTCGAAAGTCGTGAGATGATCTTTGAAAGGAATCTGACCGGACAGATTGTTGTACGATACGTTGAAGTATCCCAAGTTGTTCAAACCCGAGAGCTGTGTCGGGATGTTACCCGTCAGGTTATTGTTCGAAAGATCCAAGCTTTCGATGTTCTTCAGCTTCGCAACGCTTTCGGGTATGGAACCTGTAAATCTGTTACGAGACAGATCCAGGAAATGGATCTTCTGAAGATCTCCGACTTGAACCGGGATGCTACCCGACAGTGCGTTGCTCGATAGATCTAACCCGAACATGTCGGAAACGATCTCGCCTTGAAACGATTCGTATCTGCGTTTCGCCAGGAACTCGGCCAGGATCGGAGGCTCGACTATATGGTTGGTTTCCAACGTGTCTTCGAGGACGAGGTCTGACGAGTAATGGAAATATTCCCAGAAACCGATATTTAGACTGATGAAATCGATACATACACCCATCTCGTTGCTGTCCTCGTATCCATGCATTCCAAATGACATATTACCAATACATGAAGGCATGAATCCTCTGAACTTGTTATGAGACAAGTCCAAGAGGTTAACTTTGCTCAAATGACATATTTTCTCGGGGATATGACCTCGTAGGCGGTTGTTACGCAGAAGAAGAACGCGCAAAGGAGAGATCTTTCCTATGGAATTCAGGATATTTCCAGAGAGTTTGTTGTTCCTCAGATCAATCACCTTTAATACCCTGGACTCGAACAAAGAATCTGGGATGTGCCCTTCCAAGCCGTTGTTCTGTAGCTTCAGTTCCCTAAGTGATGAGATGTTCAGATTCCATGGCAGAGAACCAGACAAGTTGTTGTCTGAAATGTCCACCTCTTGAAGCCTTGTCAGTTCCTGTAACTGATGTGGGAAAGGACCTTGTATCCGATTCCCTCTCAGACGTAAAAACAGGAGTCTCAATAATCTACTGATCCAATGAGGAAGCTCGTTAGACAACATGTTATCCGATATGTCTATGTGCTGAAGCTTGACTGAGTTGGACAGACCTTTTCCGATACTCCCGCTGAAATTGTTGCCTTCGAGAAGTAACGCTACCAAATCGGTAAGATTTGAGTAACCCGGAAAGACTTTCCCCTGTAACTGATTGTGGGAGAGCTTCAAAAGGAGCAATGAGGAGCAACCGGTTAGGAAAGGTTTAGGCAACTGCCCTGATAAGCTATTAGAGGACATGTCCAACAACCTTAGGCTTTTCATCTCGCCAAACGAGGAAGGGATACGACCTTGGAACTGATTGTTCGAGAAGTTCATATACGTCAGGTTTGGTAAGACGATTCCAATGTCTTCCGGAACCGAACCCGAGATCCTGTTGTTCGAAATATCAAGAACTTGCAACCCGTGAACAAGATCAGGTAACAGGAGCTTCTCTAAGGAGTTACCATTCAGCAAAACCATTTGTAACATTGTGTTGTTCTTCAGCAGCCAGTCCGGGAATGAACCGACGAGCTGGTTATGAGAAAGATCGATGGCTCGCAACTCGTGCTGATGAATGACAAACCTGAGCATGGAATCCTCAAAAGTGCAGTTCCATAACTGTAATATCTTTAGCTGAAAGTATGGAGTCCAAGAACTTTCAGGGTGAACAAGTTGGATTCTACCAACTCTTGATGATAATCTGAATACCTCGAGGCTTGATTGATTAACCAATGAGTCGAACGAGAATGGACCTTCAAAGTTATTATCGAGAAGGGACAGGTACTCTAGAGGCGGTAGAGCGGACACGAACGATGACAGGTCCCCACTCAGCTCGTTGTGCGACAGATCAAGCGTTCGAAGACGGGATAAGTTGCCGAAGCAATAAGGCAGGCCGGTTAAGGCATTGCTGCTTAAATCCAGCTCTCGGAGGTGCGTTAATCCGCAAATATCCAAGTATCCTGAGAAATGATCAAACGGGGTTACGCTTATTTTGCTCGTGAAAATTCGGAAACAAAAGATTTACAAAACAAACATATCATTCAAGAAACACAAGCATAAACAATGAACAATAGTTCCTGTTCTGTTAAGTTTCAGTTACCAAATTCTGAAACTTCTATTGTTCTTTTTTTTCCCGGCATTCAAGAAAATGACATCTGAAGAAAAAACCAGAGAGCTTGCAAGACAGTACGAGAAAACGAGGCAACGAATGAGTCGGAATAATTTCACCTTCAGGGGCTGAAATCAACTGATTGCCTCTGAGATTCAACACTTGTAAATTCCCTGGATTTGCTAAACCTGCAGATGAAAAATCCAAGAGTAAAAATCTCTGCATGCTCCATTAGCTTAGATTCTTCTTCCTTTTTAAATCATGTGGTAACTGGTAATTAAGTGTTCTTGCGGGTTTTATCTTACCACGGCCATGACCAAAGCCTGTGAATCTGTTGTAACTCAGATCCAGTTTTTGCAACTTTGTCAGATTCATTATGAGTCCTGCATCCAACACAAACCTGTAAAGGTTCAAGACAGAGTTTTCTAATATCGTAAATATTAAAGAATATCGTGATAATCTTCTAGAATCTTCTTCATGTTCTCGAACCGAAAACATTTGGAGTACCTTCGAATTGGTCGAACAAGCCACCGAATCCATTCCTCGAAAGAACGAGGCTTTGAAGATTCTCAAAACTACGGAGCAGAGACAGATTCAGAATCTGGCCAGTTTCATTCATTACCCCGTCGAGAGAGAGCTCAACGACATGGCCGGAGGTTATGCTGCAGTTAACTCTCTCCCAGAGGCAACAGTCACTGAACTTTGGATCATCGGTCCACGACGGAAGAACTTGGGGATTTCCAGTGTCGTGTAACAGGGCGACAGAGGCTTTGATCCGAAGTAGAGAAGTTCGTTCCTTGTCCGAACAGCTTCCACATTGATAGACTTGCAGGGTGAGTGTTATTATTAATAATGCCAACGCCATTGTTGAACTCTCTGGCCATGACTGTGTTTTCATTTTTTTTTCTGTGAAGGGTGTGAAGAAGAACGGTGCATTTGATGGGCAATCTGTTGAAATTTGTATCCCAATATATATAGAAACGAAAGATGTCACAACAGTACTTACCGTGTTTGCAACGGTATTCAACTAACCAAAAGTCAACAGTGGAAGACTACTAGAGTCTCCTTTTGATTTGGTGACTTTGCTGCGTCTTTCCAAACAAATATTCCTTATGGTCACCCTTCAATAATACGATGATATATACAGTAAAAAATGTTTTTAAGTCTGGGTTACAAAATTCATCCGAAAGAAAATACGAGATTACCCCCCCTCCCCCAAATCTTCTTCATCCGGTTAACCAAACCGGAAGCCCATTAAGGGTTAATGGCAGAGCCCTTTGACTAGCCCCTAAAAGTCAAAAACCTCTTTCTCGTTTCAAGGGTCCGTTTCATTCGACGGCGTTTAAAGACTGGTAACGAAGAAGAGGTTCCCGTTTCCTTCATATTGTAGGTGGTGACCTAGACAGGAAGGGGAGAGAAATGGCGCATAGAATCTTGAGAGACCATGAGGCCGATGGATGGGAACGCTCCGATTTCCCAATCATCTGCGAGTCTTGTCTCGGAGACAATCCCTACGTGCGAATGGTAATTATACTTTAATTCGATCTCTCTCTATCAACTTCGGACGCTTCGGCTCAGTTATCTCCTTTTTCTTGTCGAATCTGTTTGAGTGATTCGGAGATCTTTATTCGGAACTTCTTTTCTCCAATTTTGCGTTGTTTGTGATCTTTTCTGTGTGTGTGAACTTTAGCTTCCTTTTGGAACCCTAGGTTCTTAATATTCGTTTATGAAGCTATATAGTGATTATCGATTTGGGATTTTGGGGCTAGAGAAATTGAAATTTGATCCCAAACTCTTGTCGTTATAGTTCGAGTTGATGTCTTCAATGGGTTCTTTTCCCGTGCGTCTGCAGATTTTGTAAGATCCCAATAGTTCTGGAAGCTTAGTCACGTTCTTTTGGTCTGATATTATGCCTCATGAAATGATTGGAGTTGCAGTTTTTATTGATTGATGTTCCTTTGTTGGGCTGTAGACCCGGGCAGATTATGACAAGGAATGCAAGATATGTACCAGGCCATTTACAGTTTTTAGGTGGCGCCCTGGTCGGGATGCCAGATACAAGAAAACTGAGATTTGCCAAACTTGCTCCAAGCTGAAAAATGTATGCCAAGTTTGTCTTCTGGATCTCGAGTATGGTCTGCCGGTTCAGGTCCGAGACACGGCACTCAACATTAGCTCTCATGATTCTATCCCGCGAAGTGATGTGAACAAGGAGTATTTTGCTGAAGAGCACGACCGCAAGGTATTACTTTTTTCACCCGTTTTCTTTCTTTCTTTATCATGAGTGCTCTTATCTCTGGAAGCTGAACCTCAAAGGTAGTTAAAGTTTTCACAGTTCGGCACCAGTTGGTTTTGAGATTTGGGATACCATTTGCCAAAATTGTTACTGGCATTCACAATTTTGGTTTCTCATGTAACTGAGTTTTAGCTAACTGAAGTTTTGTTTTCTCTTGCAGACTAGAGCTGGACTTGATTATGAATCTTCTTACGGGAAGATTCGACCAAATGATACTATTATGAAGCTCCAAAGAACAACACCATATTACAAAAGAAACCGAGCCCATATTTGTAGTTTCTACATTAGAGGTGAGTGTACCAGAGGTGCTGAGTGTCCATATCGGCATGAGATGCCTGAGACAGGAGAGTTATCCCAGCAGAACATAAAAGACCGTTACTATGGGTAAGCAACTCATGCTTGGTCAAGATTAAGTCGTATCTTACAATTTTTTCTGCTTGACCAATCAATTAATTCCATATTTTTAAACCACATACATAGTATTAAGCCTTATCTTCAATTCTTTGTTCGATCGTGCTGTATCAGCTCTTATATAGGTTAGCTATAGTTATTGATTTTCCTCCACTAGCCAGTTTACCGGTATTTTTGCATCAATTCATGAAAAAACAGTTTATGTGATTCAGTCATCATATTCTTCTACTTGTTCGCAGTGTGAACGATCCAGTGGCGTTAAAGTTGTTGGGCAAGGCTGGTGAGATGGGAACTTTGGAAGCCCCAGAAGACGAAAGCATCAAAACACTCTACGTGGGAGGACTTAACTCAAGAATCCTCGAGCAAGATATAAGAGACCAATTCTATGCCTATGGAGAGATCGAATCAATCAGAATCTTGCCGGAAAAAGCATGTGCTTTTGTAACATATACAACCCGAGAAGGAGCGGAGAAGGCGACAGAAGAGCTCTGCAACAAGCTCGTCGTCAATGGACAAAGGCTAAAACTCACATGGGGTAGGCCTCAAGTTCCCAAAACAGAACCCGAAGGATCGGACCAAGCAGCAAAACAACAGGGCATTGTCTCTCACGGCGGGATGCTACCCCGAGCCGTTATATCCCAGCAGCAGAATCAGCCCCCACCGCCAATGCCATATTATATGCATCCTCCTCCTCCGACCCACCAAGATAGACCCTACTATCCATCTATGGACCCACAGAGAATGGGAGCCCTTATTCCATCTCAAGACGGAAGTTCAAGTTCAAGCGGCGGTGAGAACAGAGGAGCTTTGTCCTCTCATCCGATGCCAATGTCAATGCCACCACCACCGCACGGGCATTTCCGGTACCCTCCACCTCCTTTCGGGTATATGCCACTGCCTTACCAGCAGTACCCACCTTACCATCATCACCCTGGCCCGATGGCTCATCACGGTCCGCCACCAGGTGCTCAGCCGTACCCTCAGCATCCCGGCCTCGGACCCCGACCAGGACCAGGACCAAGGCCTGCACCACCACAAAGCTCGGCCAGTGCACAGCCTCAGCCAGACTCTGCGCCTGCTCAGTCCATGGCTTCTGGTTCCGGTTCAGCTTCATCCACGCAGCAAGAGGCTGCTGTGTCGGGTTTGTTGCAGTAGACAACTTATTGATATCGAACCTGTTTCTCTGCTAATATGCTCCCCCCTCAGTTTCGCCAGTTGCCTGACGCTCTTTTGTTTTCTTTTTTTCTTTCCTCTAAAAAAACGTTTTTTGTTTCTTCTTCAACATTTTTTTGTATTTCATTTTGCCTCATTCTAATGAAATTGTGAAAGAAAAAGAACCAAGCTAAGGGGTGGAGAGGTTTACCAATATACCCCTGCCATCGTGTCAAAATTACGTCCCAGTGTCCGTATCTAAATTCTGAACCCTGGCTTCCTCCCTTCTCTCAATGACTGTCGCATCAAACTACGATTGTTCTGGCTGTGATTAATCGCTCGTTCTTCCAAAATCTTTCTGTAGTTGATGTAATTTCTTTTCTCTGACAATTTTTTTTTTGGTCGATTTGGGATAGTAGTGTTATTCCATGTCTGTATCTATAGCATCTCGTATTGCTGGCATTGGAACTGAATTTTTCAATCATTATTTTTTAGGGTGACAAAGTGAATCGCGTTCGGGCCACAGAGGAAGCATATCAGTCGGCACATTGAACAGGAAGAATAACCGAAAATCCGAACTACGGCGTCCATTGGTGAATCCCAGGGTTGATCTGGATGAGTTCAGGTGCGTCTCTTGCGTCCTTCTCTTTTGTGTCATTGGCGCTGATTCGTTCATGTTCTAGGGTTCATTCTCTCCATCTTTTTTTATTTTTTGGGGGAGTAAATCTCTTTGTTTTTCTCTTCAATCCATTCCGCTCGAATATTCCAATCTATCAAGTCTCAAAGAAGAGTTCCCGATCTGAACGATATGGTTTAGAGTAGACATAGAATCTGGTTTTGGTTTCCTTCTCTTTGACTTGACGAGCTGGGGAGTTTTAAGCGAAGCCTTATTTGTTCATTATGTGATTCGTTTGGCTGTGGACCTTAGTATTGTTGTTGTTCGTTGATTGCTTGAGCAGACAAATGCTGCTTGTATGTGTGGTCTAGCTTCAAAGAAGAAGACGGTGATCTTCGGTAGTAAAAGTATCCTTCCTTCCTTTACAATGTATAGCTGTTTTGGTTTTATGTGTTTGTGTGAAGTCTTAGAGTCCATTTTTTTCTATGCTTTGAGATTCTGAATCGATTTCTGTTTGTCGATCTTCATTTGTAATGGTTGGTTTTTATTTAATCCTTCTATCTGGTTTTTAGACAAACTATGACCTGTTTCTTATGTTGAATTTTGCTCCGTAGCTTTGTTTTCAAGGCATTGTTTACACTCTTAGTGGAACTCTCTTAAGCGTTTTATCAGGCTTCCAAAAGTCTGTATATACAGTCTCGACCGATGCGTTAGTTAGTTCTCACATCCGGGATTTGAGTCCGGTGATTTTCTTGCAGGTGGAGCGTTCGGAGGAAACAGGGGATTGAGACCTGTACCTCCGGAAAAGGGCATTTTCCCTTTGGATCACTTGCATGAGTGTGAAACGGTACTTGTTCATGTCGGACCCATTTGTTTTAAGGTTTTTGTGCGAGACCACTCTGAAGTGATTAAGCATTGATGGTGTGTGCACCATTTGTCTTCAGGAGAAGAAAGATTATCTCGGGTGTCTCAAGTCTTCGGGTCACAAATCTGAGAGATGTAGGCACCTTTCAAGAAAGTATCTCGAGTGCCGGATGGCAAAGTGAGTCCTTTTTCTATGTTCTGTTTAACTTAACCTTGCCTTCTTCGGAATTGCGTGTGGGCAAAGATTTAGGATCAGAAAATGCAAGTAGCTATCAAGAAAGCATTTGAGATGTTGGATCTCAGACATGAACGAAGGTATTGATCATTCTGCAGGAACTTGATGGCGAAACAGGATATGTCTGAGCTAGGATTCAGGGATGTTACTGAACTGGAATCTTCCGTGGAGTAGTGGAAACTGAAGCCAGCGCGGTGGAAAGCCCTTTTTTTTCTTTTTTTGTAGAATACAAACTGAAGACACCTATTTGTCATTGAATTGATTGTTGAAACCACCATCAAGAGTTTTAGTCACAAGTATTTCCCGGTTAGAGCCTTTGCATTTTTTGTGCTTTCAAGGTTTTTTGCTATATACATTTTGATGATCCTCATGTGCTTGAAACATGTAGGTATTAGAGAATGTTCGCATGTGTTCATTTAGGAGACACGACTAGTTCGGTAAGAAGGTTGATTTAGTGAAATATTTGCCAAGTGTTTGAATCTGTTCTAGAGACTTGGAACGAAACAGAGGGTTCAGGACGATATTTTCGGTTTTGTTCATTACCGTAGCATCTGAAAATCTCGGGGGCAAAGCCGGGCCATGCTATATTAAGAATCCCTAATTGGACCAATAGTGGGCCGATAAGAGGCCCGTTAAGTGACGTATCGTATGGGCTTTGGACTCTAAATGACGTATTCGATTGACTTTATTAAGTGACGTTACGTCCGTTCTTCCCGAAGCTTCCTTCAATTCCGTCCTGATATAAACCGCTCGCTATTCGGTTTGAGGCCAAATTTAGTTTGGCTCTTATACGTTCTAGAGTGTTCCGAAGCAACCTTTCCGATCATCGAGCTCGGAGATTCCTCTTGCGGCTTTCGATGTGAGTATTTTGTTTGATCGCAATGATTTTTATTTTCTGAATTAAAGTCGATAGAATCGAGTTGTTGCTATGAATTCTAGATGGAAAGATGATAATTGTCTTTTGTTGAATGAAAGATGATAGTTTTGCTACGATCTTCGTAACGAATATTCTTTACCGTGTTTGCTTCTTGAGTTGATTTCTAGCTTTTCTCGTCGTTCTAGATTATTTTGTGCATCGAATTGAGACGAAAGCTTTGGTTGATGAAGCTTCGATTCTCGCTTTCGCAAGAATTATTATGTCCAGTGAAGTTATGTCACGTCTCAATTTGCAGTGCCGATCTGATAACCTTGTAGAAAGTAAATCGTGTCGTGAAGGAGATACAAGTTTCGTTGGATTTGGTTGTCAAACTTTGAATGAATGCCTTGGAAATGGGCATATTCTCTCAGCTTGTTCATTTTGAGTTTAGCTTGCTCGACATGAAGGGATTTGCTCATTTTTTTTTCATCATCTTCCCTTTTTTAGATGTCTTACTCTAGGAGACCAAGGTACTCCCGCTCACCATCTCCATATGAACGACGTGGAAGGTCTGTCTCGAGGTCTCTGTCTAGGAGCAGATCAAGGTATTGTTTCCTAATTTGCCCATATCAAAGATTATCTGTTTTCTTCTCTTACCATCTGTTTCAGCTGTAATGGTTGCCTTTGACCTGTACATACATCACAGGAGTGTATCAAGTGATGCAGAGAATCCTGGGAACAGTTTATATGTGACTGGGTTGTCTCATCGGGTGACCAAAAGGGATCTGGAGGACCACTTTTCCAAAGAAGGAAAGGTTAGCAATCTGAAATGAATATAAATATTTTTTATAGCCCATCGATGCATGATCTGCATTGACGTTGTAACAATGAGAGTCTGTAGTAATAAGTTTCAAACGTTGGTATTTGTTTCTCTTTGTCTTAACCTTTGGAATCTTCGTCCTTTGCAGGTGGTTGATGTTAATCTGGTTCTTGATCCTTGGACTAGAGAATCTCGAGGATTTGGGTTTGTGACAATGGAAAACATGGAAGATGCAAATCGGTGCATCAAATATCTAGACCGCTCTGTTCTAGAGGGTCGAATCATTACAGTTGAGAAGGTAAAACACTGACTACTGATGGCCCTTGACCCATGAACTAGGAGAGAAAAAGAAAATGACTGCAATTTGGCATTGGCTTCTGAAATTGAGCCAAAGATGATACTTGGCCAGTTGTGATATCGATCTCTTCTTTGAGAATTGAAGTTGTTTGCTTGTTTCCACTTGTAAGTTTTGGTGGCAGCAGGTCTGCTGTGTGTAGCAGCGCATCACCAAATTCCAAAAGTTGCAACTAGTCAAACAAATCAAACACGCCACAGTTTCAGACTCTTGGGGTTGTATGCCCTGCATTTCTCTTTCTTAAGCAACTTAGTAGCTTGTTTCCTAGCTTCTCTCTCCTGTCTTTATATCATTGTCTGGGCAGAAGTGCTTCTGTCCTGTTTGCTCCATTATACCTAATCTTGTTTATTTAATGTAATCTCATCGACTATTCGGCCAATGACAATTGCATGATTGCTTTTTCAGGCAAGGCGCCGTAGGGGACGAACTCCGACTCCAGGAAGGTACTTGGGTCTGAGGACTGCTCGTGGTATGATACGGCTGAGTTGCTTTTGACGACAAAGTCATGTAGAATATCCTATTTCCTATATTATATATAACTTTTTTTCTTTCTGTACAGGGCGCCACAGGTCTCGTAGCTACACCTCTCGTAGGTCGCCTAGCTATTCCCCTCACAGGTCTCCTAGCTATTCCTGTTATTCTCCCAGTCGCAGCCGAAGCTACTCATCCAACCGCAGCAGGAGTAGGTCATATTCCCCAAGTTATAGGAGGACAAGATCGTCATACTCACCTTATTATAGGCGAGACGGATCTTACTCCCGGTCTCGATCTCCTGATGTCTGTTATTACAGGCGGAGGGACAGGTCGTACTCGCCTTACTACAGGCGCCGTGACAGGTCCTACACACCATATGACAGGCGCCGTGACAGGTCCTACTCACCATATGACAGGCAGAGGGACAGGTCCTACTCGCCTTATTACAGGCACCGGGACAGGTCATATTCCCCAGATGATCGTTACTACAGAAGGTATGATCACTGAGCAAGCAAATGTGTGCGTGTGTGTGTATTTTTGTAAGAGTACTGAAAACACAAACACAAAAGGAGCCGCAGGTACAGGTCGGTTTCAAGGAGTGTGACACCGCCACGGTCAAGGAGGAGTCACTCGAGAAGTGTGAGCCCAGTGAAGAAGAGCTCAAGGAGGAGAAACTATTCACGCAGCATTTCTCCTGACGAAAAGAGTTCAAAGAGGAGTGTTTCACCGAAGAGTAGAAGCAAGTCGAACAGAGGCAGAAGATCTCGAGACAGCCAGTCTTCAATGAGCCATTCGAGAAGCGCGAGATCAAGCACCCGATCCGTCAGCCCGAATTCCCCCAAGTCCGAGTGAGGAGTTGTATCCATGGAAGCACTCTCACCTTACATGCCCTTCCGTGTCCATCCCTTGTTACCACATTGTCTGGCATTTGTAATAATCTCCTCGCACACGTACTGTTGATAAGGGACCGGTTAGGCGTATGTAGTGTGTGCTACTTCATATCAGTATTTGGTAACTCGCGTTGATGTACGCTGTTATGTTACTTGCGTAACCTAGTGACCTACACTGGTCAATTCCATCGATGGCATGTTCGTTTCTCCACGACATAACAAAAAAGGGATCATTTTACGCGCATATCTATACAGAAACATCAGAGATTCGGAAGCCAGAGGAGAGACAGATGCCCGGCCTTATTGAACTGAGTGAAGGGCAATACTAGCGAGAACAGAGGGCGTTCGCCATCATGTTAAAACGATCTAGCTTAAAAGAGGGTATTGGGTTCAGATCTTGCTGGGTTTTCTACCAAACAGAGAATGGCGGCCTTCAGCAATAATCTCCCCCGTCAGCTTGTTTCTCACCACCACTATCGTCCCTTTGTAACCCCCTCTCTCCCCCAACACCTTCGACGTTATTTCCAGTTCGTCCTGAAAACGCCATTTTTTTCCCCATCAATGGAGTTGACTCACAACGAAGACTTTTAGTGTCTATATATATATATATATATATGCTTACACCAAGCTTTGCTGATGAGAGAAAGGAGATGGACATGTCCACCGAAACGTTCATGGGTAGGCCTTCCACATGGACAACAGCCCCTCCCACCTCGTCCACAAGATTCGCTATTGCACCTGTCGCCATATTCCCATTTCTGTCCTGCCATTATCCATCCAAATTACACCATCTCAATTTCCAAGAACAAGAAGGAACCCAAGAAAACACTAAAATCCCATCGAATCGGCCCTCTCAGCTTAGATTTTCCCAGAAATGTCAACCTCAGACAACAAAATCCAGAGCCGGAATCCTTCGCCAGAGAAAAGAAACGACCCAAATGTCGCGATATCATCAGATTCAAACAACCAGCTCAGAGGCAAAAGGATTCACTACCAAGACGTACCGTTAAACGAGGAGGCACCTTGAGAGTGCAGGAGACGAAGCCAGGCTCGACTCGGTCCACTCGGATTCCTCTCAAGCTAAAATCCTCGTAGAAGCTCCTGCCTTTTCCGACTCGGTCGACTCGGAACTCGGCCTCGTTATCCTGTTCGCTCACCTGGAGAAACTCCCTAACTTTCTCCGTCATTTTCATTTGCCCCCCTCATTGAAAAACCCACGATCCATATATATAGATTGATATGGGCCAACAAATATTTTAGGCCCATCATTTCAAAGTCGGCCCACTCCGAATAGAACAAACTCCTTTTCTCATCACCGATATTAAAAAAAACGTTACAGAACAGGCGAAGAAATCGGAAGCATGTAAAAAACATTCTAGGGGTATTTCCGTCAATTAGGTTTTTATTTTTTAAAACTGGCTTGATTTGATTCCAACAGAATCCAACAAGTGCCAAAAAACAATAATAAAGCGGCGCAGGGTTCATAGATTACAAGTTGTTTTGTGAGTCAATTGGATTAAGTTTAGGTTTTATATGATGAATAAAAAAAATAGGATTTTTTGGTTGACGAAATATAGAATTTTTTTGACGACTGTCCTAATAATTTTATTCTTATCAAATAGAAACAAAATTATAAGTCTTCTAATAAAGAACGAATGGAAAACCAAACATAAAACTCAAACGGAAGTATAAGTCTCCCAGTCTAAATTAAAAAGTAAATCATTATACCAAAAAATCTAGTATATTGATTTGTATTACTATAATAACAAAATCGGTATTACTCATTAGTGGAGTCTAAACTTTATCATATAAATTGTAGATATATAATTTAAAATTTATAAATATTATGAAAATAAGAACAAATCAAGTTGTCGGACTAAACATCTAACAAGAGAATGTTAATATAATTGGCATAGTTATCATAATCATTGTTATTATGAGAATAAATTGTTGGATATATGATTGCTAATTAAGTTAATTGAAAATGAGCCGTCCATTACAAAAATAACAAAATATAATATGATGGATGGGAACGTGAGTGAGGCCAGACGAAGATACCGAAATCATCCCTGCGAGATCAAAAGGCATTTGAAACACAAAAGGGGCAAAAAGGACAATGCATACTACGTGTCGTCATTGGCGTAGAGATAAAGTCAATTCCTAAACGGTATCCACCGACCTACCTTCCGTCGATGCGTACACATTTCATATATATGTACACACACATCGTATTTATAAATATTATATTATTTAAATCATACACATCGTAATCGTAATAACATGGTATGCTACAAAATGGTCCTCACAGAAAAAAAAAAAAAAAAAAAAAAAAAAAAAGATAACGACTCAGTAGAATTTCTTCCAGAGCCAGTGCTTCTTCCAAGCCCTTTCGGCCATTTCATCAACGGGGATGCCTTTGGTCTCAGGAAGGAAGAGCCAGACGGAGATCCCCATGACGAGATTCCAGAATCCGAAGAAGAAGAAGGCGAAGGACTTGAAGGCACACATCATCGACAAGAAGAACTGCCCGATGATGAAGGTGCAGAGCATGTTCATGGCCACCGCGCAGAAGAACCCTGCCGTCCTCACGTCCAGTGGGTATATCTCAGACGGCACGAGCCACCCGAGCGGGCCCCACGACCATGCGAACCCGGCCACAAACGCGCAGATCAGTATCAGCACCACTAGCGCGTACTTGCTCCCGATCGGTCCCACCACCTTCAAGTGGGTGAAGAGGATGGCTCCTATGATGCACTGCACGTACGATAACAGTAAAACAAAAACCCTAGTTGAGTTTCCTTGCTACACAAGCAAGCCCAAAGTTTCAATCCATTATAGCTGTTGTCTCACCTGAGTAATGGTCATCTGAGCCGCTCCTTCTTTCAAAAGGGCCTTCCTTCCGACCCTGTCCACGCAACAGATGGCTATGATGGTGGCGAGAGCGTTGACCAAGTTGGTCACGACCGCAGATTTGAGGGAACTGTCACTACCAGAACCCATTGTCTGAAACAGGACAGGGGCATAGAACATGACGACATTGATCCCTGTGAACTGCTGGAAGAACTGAAGGATCGTTCCGCAGAGAAAAGGCGGCAAGTTCTGACGTTTGAAGAGCTGTCTGTAGGGCTGCTTCACCTGGTTCGCCAACTCGGTGGCTCGTTTGATCTCCTCGAACTCGAGGGTCACGTCCTCGACCCCTCTGATCTTTCTCAGAACCTTAAGACCCTTCTTATCCTTGCCACGCTCGATGAGACTTGCGGGCGTTTCATAGATAAAAAAGGATCCGAACAAGAGGATTAAGGCCGGGACCGCTGCTCCACCGAGGGAGTATTTCCAACCGTCTTCCAGTTTGGAGGTGAAGAAGTTTATGATACTGGCGACGAGGATGCCGACGGTGATTAGAAACTGAAAGATAATGTTCAATCCTCCCCTGTACTTTGCCGGCGCTATTTCTGAGATGAATAGTGGTACGGCCTGCGATTTCAGACCAAAGAACAGACGAATCTAAGATGAGAGATTGTAGTGACGCGATCGTCGAAGTGGATAAGAAAACCAAATCACGGTTTCATGTGATATTAGTTTAAGAATATACGATGTTAGATGAAACAAATCACCAACAAACCAAGACGTAAGACCAAAGAACATATTAACCAAACACAGATGCCTTTGAACTTAAACCCAAACACAGAGACAGGGATCAGATCTAGCAAATAAGGCTAATCCGGAGTATTTGATTCAACAAATCACTGAAAATAAATCAATCAAGATAGGATCTGTTACTAGATTGAAGAAAAAGCCAGATCTGGAACCCTAAACTCGAATCGACATGGGAGATTAGACGGATTCAAAGTCATGTGAAAATAAACAAAACCCAGATGAAAAGTTACCTGGTTGCCAAACCCAATGCCGAAGCCAAGAAGAATCCTGCCTCCGATCAACATGTAGAGATTACGGGCGAAAAAGTTGAGGACGGCACCGACGAGAAAGAAGCAAGAGGCCAATGTTATGGTCGGCTTTCTTCCACACTTTCTGCAGACAATGGAAGCAGCAAAGCTGGCAAAAATGGCGGCTAAGTACAGAGAAGATGTGAACAGCTGCAGAAGCTGGTTGTCGAATTTGCAGTAGTTGTTCTCGTGTGCCCTGTGTTTCTTCTCGTACACGGTATGGAAAAACTTTATCAAGAAACTGTCCATACTCGTCACTCCACCTGCAAGCACACGTTGAAAACCAGACTTGATCGAGGTAAATCATCGGATTAAGAAATAAACTGAGCGGCCCACATGAGATTTAACTAATATCAAGGAAAGACATGAAGCCAGAAGCGTGAAAAAGAGAGTTAGAACCTGAGATTCCGATGTCGTAACCGAACATGAGACCTCCACAAGCAGCAATGATACTGCAGACGATGACTTGCCACGTCGTCTTCGCAGGGAACGAAGTCCCTCCTTCGACGTTCATCACAGCCCCCGCCATTGATCTCTCTCTCTCTCTCTCTCTCTCTCTCTCTCTTTCTCTCTCTCTCTCTCTCTCTCTCTGCTTTAGAAGCTTTTGGGGTTCGTAAGTTTTAACACAGTGAATGCGTAGATACGATTATATATATATATATATAGAGAGAGAGAGAGAGAGAAAGAGTAGAAGTGTTTGAGATTAAATTTGATTTGGTGATGAGATTTGTTTGTTACACGACGTTATCTCGATATATTCTTCGCTGAGTTTAATCAACAGAAAAATCCTCTGTGAAAGAGAAGATATATATAAAAAATAAAATACAAAGATATTTCAGTTATTCATAATATTTGCTTTTATCTCTTTCGTTATTTAACGTCTTTGATGATATTTAGTTTATAAAGTCCACGTAGGATACGCACATTTACTTAGAGATAATAAGAAAATGTTTTAAGCATTTATACCAAACCAATCACTAACATTTAAAATAACAATATATATATATATATAAATAAAGAGTATTCAATTATCTTTCAAAAGCTTTGAGGAGATTACTTTTATCCAATTAGGGTCCTAGACAATATATGACTGTAGATATAGAATTCAGATCCTATATATATATATCATCTGATAATTAAAAAGGAAAAAACGGCTGTTTTTAATGGGATTCCCCTCCCTACAGGATCTACACAGATGCCTTGCGCCCTAAGAAAGCAAACCCACATGTCTCTGCCGGAGAAGAAAAACTCTGCCACAAATGTTTTTATACAAAAACACATCCAAAACGGACTCAGACAAACATCTGGAGATCAAAGTTCTTATCTTTACAAGATTCGAGTTTCTTCCTACCGCTTTTGATTCTCTTCAAGGAAAAGTTTCCTGCAACTCACATTTAAACAAAAAACCTCAAAACTGGAACATTCCCGGTTCCTGGCTCTGGTTCACATCTAAGAAACCCGTCCTCTTCAGCCGCATTGGCTTATAGTCTGAGAAATGAAGATCATTCTTGATAGATTATGGTGATTTGTCTGCATCAGACCAGGATAACTGAGGAAGAGGATTGGATGGTTTGTGTTCCTTGTCACAGAGAGAGTGAAAGCCAATAAGAACCCTTTGGCCGTGAAAAGAAAAAAAGACAAAAGCAGGCGAAGAGGAAAGACTCATGCTCTCAATTCAAGCTTACCCTTTCTTCCTTTCGAGCCGTTTGATCGTTTTTCAGTTCCTCAGCAACAAAATAACCATGTTCTTCTGCAGTTTTAGACTCTTCTTGGACATCTCTATCATTCTCCAGCTTCGATTCTTCTGCTTCCGTAGTTCCCTTTGTCAGGAACTGCACCTTATCTTCACTACTCTGAGCATACTTGAACGACGTGTCACTGTACAATGTCTCAACAATCGCTGAATTATCTACTCTGGATTCTTCAGATAATGTGACAAAAGAACCCTGGGTTTCATTTCAATGCCAAGGAAAAGAAGAGTCAAAATGTGACATAAAAAGAACCCTGGATTTATCTGATGGAACAAACACATTGTTCCTGCTTCATAGGAGAGAAAAGAAAGTTCAACTATGACAGTGCATGTAAAGAAAGAGAATCTGCTCTGTGATTGCCACAACTAAGCTAACCTCTTGTTCTTCAGTGTTCCTCTCGTCAGCTGATTGATTGGGAAATGACACTGGAACCCCTTTTTCAGACGGAGATGGATCGTCCAATGTGCGTGGCTTATCCTCAGGACTCAACCCATAATCCTGGTCCAGGGGGTAACACGTTTGGTAACACCGTTCTTGGGTATATAGGTCATCCAAAACATAAATGCTCCCAAAGTAAATTTTCATTTTTCTTTTTTTGTTAATATGAAGCTTACCTTTTCTTCAGTAATAGCTGATTGATCATTTTTTAGTCCTTTTGCTGGTGAATCAACAGATATTTGGAGCTCCTGTGCAGTATTAGGCTCTTCCTGAACCACTCTGACAGTTTCAGGTTCATCTCCGCCCATTACTTGCTCAGAGGAGCCTAAGCTCTCATGCTTCACCAGATTCGATTCTTCACTTCTCTCAATAGATTCCGAGTTTCCATTGCATAAAATTTCCATATCTTCCATGCCAGTGGGTACTTCAGATTCTTCAGAGATTGTTATCACAGAATCCTGGATTTTGCATGCAACGTTTAAAAAAAGTGAAACTTTTAGATAAGATCGGGTAAAAGCTTTAGTAACATATATAAATACATTCACAGAAATTTAATTCGACTTACCAAATTGAGGCTGCTCTCGGGTTCTTCAGTGTTTCTTCCGCCGGCTGATTGATTCTGCAGTTGTTCTGGAGCTACGTTTACAGTTTGAGGATGACTGTCCAATATATTTTCCAGATCTCCAGAATGTAGTGAATATGTCTGGTCTAGAGATGACACATCTGGTAACACTGATCTTGGAGAAGGAGCAGATTCATCTGAATTGCCATTTTCGACATCTGAAGCTTCAGTTTCCACAACTTCTTGCATTTCTAATGCTGGTTGATCTTCATCATTGTTCTCACCGTCTCCTTGAGATTCTTGATCATTCCTCACAGATGGTTCAGCTTCGTCAGAGTCATAACTTATCCTTATCTCATCCGCCGGCTTTTCAGAAGGTTTAAACGTTTCCTGTAAAAGAAATGACATTATTTGAAATGGATTGAGAACCAAGACATTAGTAGTGATCTGTAGGACCAATGGAACCAGAACATGAACAAACCTCAGCTTTTTTTGAAACAACTTCATGAGAATGAGTAGCCACATGCTCTTCAATAACATTTGATCTATCAGAAGGGCCATGTAAATCTGTAACATCAGATGGATCATCAAACTTTTCGGTTCCTCTTTTTTTTTTTTCTGGAGAAACATATGAACTTATTTTTGTAAAATCTGCATCACCTTTCACCACGGGCAACATTTCAAATTTTGCAGATGTATCCAGAGTGTTCTTCGGTTTGATCTCAGTTTCCTTACGACAAAAACCCATTTCTCGTCCAACTTCTGATTCGTAAACAAACAATGATTTTTCATCATCAGAGTAATCATTCTCATCAACAGTTGTTGGAGGTGATCCAATCTCAGAAACCTCGACTTGAAGATCAGAATCCACAGAATGTGTCACCATATGGCCTCTGCTTGCGCTGTAACCGAAATGCTCCATGTACCTTTGCCTTTCGGCTCCTAGAGAGCTCGAAACGTTGTTTCTTGGCACTAAACCCACGAGAGAGTTTCCAATATGATCACCATTTCTTTTGCTGAGAGTTTTACTGCTTGTTTGGTCTGAATTCTTCTCACTCTCTCGAGGAGAAAGTGATGAACTTGAATCACTATCATCATTTCGGATAGAACCAGTTTCCGTGTGAACCTCACTTCTATTCCCAGAACTTGATTCCATGTTATTTCCTTCTTCCCTTCTCGGAAAGTCAATTCCTTTAGTTAAAGGCTGAAGCTGCTCGACTAAACCATCACCATTACATTCATCTGGAAAAACCACAAAGTAACACAAAGTCTGAGGAACAATATGAAGATGATGCAAGAAGATAGTATCCCCATGGCAATATTCAGACACAGAAGAAATAAAAAAGAAAAAACCCGGGTATGTACCTTCCCGCGGCTTAATCCTGGAGAATCCTTGACCATCAGAAGTAACCTTCCTCCACGGTTCAAATTTGGAGTCCTGTTTTTTTTCAGTTGGAAAAATCCTGTGGCAGAAGCTCTCGTGACGACAGAAGAACGTATTCCTTTGGTTACACACAGAAAACTCATGCAGAAAACTGTCCCCCCTCAAGTCTGGCTTCTCTTCTTGTGGGTCATAAGGAAGATCAAATGGATTTCTTGTTGGTAATAACACAGAAGGAGCAGAACCTGGCATCTGCAGTTCATCACTGTCATAGTTATCATGATCAAGACCAAAATAGTTCCTTTCGACTGAAATCGGAGGGATCCCCATGTTCCTTAGGCTTCTCTCAGCTGCCAACAGGAATAATTTCCTCGACCGTCTTTTAGCAATCAAATTCTCCAACCTCTTGTTACGTTCGATCTCAAAGATCCCGAGATCCATCGAGTTATTCTTATCAGCCGCTGTCCAGGAAGCGGCTTTATTTATCTCCTCATGAGATTTTTCTTCCTTCGATGGTGAACTCTCCATTTCTGTCTCGCCACCAACACTCGTTACCTTCTCAAATGAATCCAACACAACGTTGTCTGTGTTAAAAGAAGTGTCAACGACATGGTCAAACAAACTTTCTTCTGCTGCAAGTAACGTCTTATCTTTCTTGAATCTCTCGAAATTCGGACCTCTCATGCCGGGTAATTCTCCATAGAGAGTTGTTAGAATGACCCTGTCCGTATCGCCCCCGCTAGCTTGCAATGAGCCCCAATCTTTTCCCACCTCTTCCACTTTCCTTCTGGCATTCCGTCGAACACTTCGTTGGGGCCTCAAATAAGGCTTTTTGTTTCTACCATCACCCGGTACAGATCCCTTTTGGACAGACGATGATGACCCTTTATCCGCTTTCTTTTCCTTTGATGAACTACGGATCCTCGATGGATTCGAACTCAGGCGACTCCGGAGATAAAACGCGGGAAAGGCGATCAATGGAGAAGAACAGAGCAGGAAATAGAAAACCCAAGGAAAAAACGCACACAAGAGGAAGACAAAAGTGGAAACACAAGAAACGACTGGGTATTTCTTCACGTATCTGCAAGTGGTGTTTGTGACTAATCTGAGGAATTTCCAGACAAAAACTCCGACACCCTTAGCATCAATTTCCATGTCTCAGCCTGCTCAGATAACCCTGAAACTCAGAAGAGTCATTAAGCCCGAAAGCACAAGGAGACCAAAGCGTACAGTTTGGAGTTTTCTAGAGAAACCAAACTGATCGAAGGACGAAAGAAACTTTCAAAGATGCTCTAATCGACGAGTCAACAACTTCAGATGAAAGATGAAAGGTAAATTGAAGAATAAGAAGAAGAAGAAGAAGAAGAAGAAGAAGAAGAAGCAACATGGCGTCGATAAGAGAGGTCAAGCTTACCTCTGAAATGATAACCAGTCAAAAATCTCCGGTTTCTGAATGGGTTTTTCTTTCAGAATTAGAAATTTTCTTTTTTCTCTCTTTTTTTTCTTCTTCTTCTCCGTTTGCGAGGGAATGAACGGATCATGCGCACAAGACAAAATAGAAAACGGGTGAGAGAGAACGAGAAAGAAAGTTGCTGACATGTTCGCAAAGATTTTTCTGTCTTTACACTTTGACCCCTATAGTTTACATAGTTTGTAGAACAACCCCGTAAGTCCTCGGCGTTTGCACTTTGCATTTTGTTCAAGGCTTTTTAATATTGGGCTTTGCAAACGTGATCTCCCAAGCTCATCAATGAGCCCAATCCGTAGTAGGCCCTACCACCATCCTCTTTATCTTCCATAAATTATTTTTATTTTTGTTTAAAAAAACATTATTAATTAGTTTTATCGGCAGATATTAGACTTGTTTGCATGTAGATTGTATATTATTCTCAAAAAAGATATATACGTTGATATATATATATATGTATATGGACAATAAAAATCGATATTTTTCATGCGTACAAACTATATAACTGTATTTGACATATTATCATACTTAAATATAATAAACCATAAAATTTATATAAAATTGGGAAATCTATTTATGATGTATATAACTTTTTTTAAAAGGAGATATGGATTTAAAATATCAACGTAGCTTTCACAACGGAGACAAGATATTCTGGTAGGACCCCCAAAAGAAGAAGCCCAACTTGCATGGCTTATAATTTTTATCCGTATTTATAATATCATTTTTTGTCCTTTTATAATTTAGCCCAATCAATAGCTGTCCTGTCGCTTATTTTATAGCCAGAGATTCGGTTATTGAATCTTTACATAAACTGGGAAAAATCAATGCGAATGAGAAGTATCTAAATTTATGTATTTTTCCATTTTATTAATCTTACAATTTGTGAAATTTCTTGATTTAAACAATGTTTATAATTATATTGTACTCAAATATATAAATATATACACAAAATTGCTGTTTAAAAACGAGACAAATGTAGGATAAAACATGCGTATGGTCAATCTGGTTTCACTTTTGTGTGAAACCCGGTGTTCATTAATTTTCTTTTTCTTATCGTAAGGTCTCTCACTATTTTTTTTATAAATATAAAAGATCCAAATAAAATATAAATAAATGTATGATCATTATTTGATAGTAATATTAATCATTAAATTGAGTCTGATCTAACAATTAGATCAAAAATATTTTCTTAAAAATAATTTAAAGTGAATCCAAACAAAATTTGGTATAAATGATATATTTTCTAAAAAAAAATGAAATGGAACCGTAACTCTGTCTATGTGTATAATACTATATAGATAACTCCTTTTTTAAGATATATTTTCGTTTTTTAAATAAAAGTATGGTAATAAATTTTAGATTTCTTTATTTGTATCTTATGTATTTTTCACCCAAAATAATCGAAATTTTCAAAAAAACAATTACGGAAAAGAAATGAAACGAGTTGTGAAACGACCGCCTCCTCACGTATCTTATCTGGTGCCTACAAAATCGCTTGAACGCTTCTACAAATATCTGGGGGGGGGGGGGGGG